TAAATATATCCAATTATTAATTTAAAACATCATTTAGCAACTCTGTTTTATGGAGCAGACAAGTTCAATTTAGGCATCTGAATAGTATCCTACCTAAAATACAAATATGTATTCAATTAATACGTTGTAATAACAATCTTCTCACTTGACTGATTGCCTTTTTTGTATCCTTTTGTATAGTTTAACAATTTGAACTTATCCACTATGATTAAAGTTGTATATTGTTGTATTTGTAAATTGATTTCTAGTGACCAGGATAACTGTAGCTACTTATGCTCAAAAATTTCACCTGATAAGTATACAGACTAAAAAAAGAATTGACTAATACATCAGCCAAAGCTTTTAAATCGTACTATAGCTGAAAAACAGTAGATAAGTTTTAAACTTTTGAAGCATGAAGATTCCACCTTTCGTAGACTATTATACGTTCAATTATCAAGTTTATTTGAAGCATGTATGAATTGAGAGCAATGAAATATAATGTGGGTAGAGTGAGAAAATTAAAATGATTTTGTTACACTGATTAAAATAATAATAGAGGGGTTCAATGAAATGAAGTGATATCAAAAACAATTATTAATAGAATCATAGGAATATGAGAAGTTATTAAAGAGAGGGGAATATTTTCAAATAAGAAATATAATAATAATAGTTTGAAGCTATGGAAGCAGTAAGGATGAAATGAAACTTGAATGGGGTCAGAATGATACACACAATCGTTTCGATAATAGACAAGATGATAAATAAAAGGATCTAAAATGACTAGCAAAAAGTAAAATGATAACCGCCTAGCTATACAACTGTGAAGTTAAAGTTCGCATCATTGTCTTTTGACTATTTAAGGATGTTTTTCATAGCAATAAATCTAAGAATTACAAAGAAACTGTAGGAAGTGGATTTTGCACAGAATGAAAACTTGAAGAGAGGGAGCGGACTGAGTGAAGTGAAGGGAGTATCTCAACATAAAACAAAGCCGAAATTTGTTAGAGATTATTATCATCCTGAAAATGAGACTAAAAACTCCTGAAGGTGACTGATAACTGTCAGAAGTAATATTTTTAGAACTCACCCCTTGCCTTTCAGAGCTTTTATTGTTTATATGTGTATAAACAATGTCAGGGATAATTAAAATGTATTTGATCACACACAGACTTTATTAGTTTTGGGACCATAGGGAATCAACGAGCAGTGGTCATCTTGTTAACCCTGTTCTTAGATACCTCAACAAACTAAAAAATCTATTCTTCATGTAAAAGAAACTTGGACCTTTAGATTATATCGTACAGTTATGGAATTAAAGTGACTAGTGTTTTCCAAATTTCAGTCAAATAATAATGCTTTATTGCCGAATGTGATAAGTAGATATGACCCCATCTTAACATTGTAAATGTTATCTAAGCCACTGTTATGCATGACCTCACCTATCATTCATTGGCTAATGAACCTCAGGTGAGTAAACTATTCATGAGATGTATGCTCAACTAATTGATAAATCTGCACGTACAATGTGAGTAGTGTGACCCTGATTTACTATAGTAAGTTTACTTGAATTAACGAAATCACATGAAATGATAAAAAACCAGTATGAGGTTTAACTATACGCTCGATAATAAACGATGTTAATGTTTGAGATATCTGTACTGTGTAGTTTTACGAAAAACTATCAATGGAATCCAATAAGCAAACTTCTTTTCCCTCGGTCTTCCTCGTTAAGATGTTTCTAGGCTCTTTTTAGCAGTTATAATATTGAAAAATGTGTGTCTTCTTTATTTCAAATAGATGGAAACGAATAAGAAGCTATTGGTCAAAAGCTTAGGATGAACTTTGGTTGTAAAATGATCCAGGAGGTAACTGGGTGATAACAGAATGTAGGTCTGCATTCCAACTTGGGATCTTCAAAAAAAACTTACTCTGATGTGATCATTCTATAAAGCTGAAAATTGTTTTAAAATAAGTCACTTTAAATCATTCTCGCTTATAAAAAACTGAGTATATTTTCAAGCTAATCAATAAACATGTATAATTTGATTCATTTGCGTTGGTTGTTTGGATCTTAATAATGATCTTTAGGATTGCAACTTATCAGTTTCTTTTGGAATATATGCATCCTGTGTGGGTTGTCTCGACACTATCATTTATTTACAACCATTTTAAGCAGATTTGTATGGGTAAATGCCCATTTTCAATCCTACTGTTAGCCTCCATCCAACAACTAGAAGTTATTTACAACCTCCAGTAGTTTAACCGACAGAATTCAGTTCGATTATTATTATTATTATTATTATTATTATTATTATTATTATTAGCTTTATTCAATATTATATTATTGGTACAATATAGAATTCTCAGCACAAAGTATTTCAACAAGTTTCCGTTTCTTTCTTCTTGGACGGTCCTCGCGATAAATACTGAGTGATCGCCAACTAGATGTTAACAGTCCAGTAAATGAATATCTGAATAATGTACATTCTTTTCGTTGTATATTGCCAGCAACAATATTCTCTCTTTTTGAGCTTTTTGTAACTTTGACAACGAAAGGTTGTACACTTTTCAGAAACGCAGCAGAATAGGTTGTACGATTAATAGACATAATGATATATTAAAACAAACAAAGATAGATAACTTGTCGAAATATCTAGATGGCAAGAACAGGTAGCCCAGATGCTCAAGCAGGCCGCCTTGCTGTTCGTTACTCTCATCTCGCAGATTAGTGTCCAAACGCCAGTCCTGTATGCCATAACGAGTAATGGGAAAGTTAGAAGTTTTGAACCTATTTTTCGGATTATTATCATTATTTTTATTGTATAAATATTAGATAACTGCATTATTTTATTTTATATTATCCTTATTATAAAATCCCAGTGGATCTATTAACTATTGTTATGGGTTTTACTATTGCTAACTAATTATATACTGCTCTCTCAACTCGCTACGAATAGTGGGATGATTGTGTTTAAATTATGATTTCGTATTTAGTGTGCCTTGTGACCTCATAATTCCTACATATGGGCCGATGAGTGGTTGATACAGATGCAGTTCTGGCCGGCCGGACTGGGTGGTTGAAATATAGGGATAACAGAAGGTTGGCTCCTGATTTCTATTCGAACTTAAGGCCGAGGACAGAAAAAGGCTTTCTCATAGGCAACCTATAAGAGTGTAGCTCATGTTAGCTCACGGCTAACTTTGTTGTCCATAAAGTACTCGAGGTTAGACGCGCTGGGTTATATTCTGAATAGCAGACGCTGGTCCAAAAAAATTATATTCAGGAATTCTTATTGACAGATTCAGTAAGTAATGTCGATTAGACATAACATAAAGGAGGGTCAGTCGAGGTTAGACCAGCTCAGTGGTAAGTTTACTGATACCATCACCGAGTACCATGGGTTGAAGCCTAATTCTTCAAGAGTGTAGATTAATACAAATCGTCATGAAATCTTAGTTCAGAGATTCTTGTTGTTTGCTTCCTAACATTCAAAATTATCCACTTCTTTAGACTCAGTTTGGACAGTCGAGTAGCATCGTTCATACGATAAGTATGGTTTAAAATAAAGTACGTGAACCTGTTCGTGATTATTGAATTACGACATTACATTTGACTGCAGACAAATTCCATTTATGTAACTAATTGGGACAAGTAACTCACTAGCTAGGACATCACTTCATTATAACATATAGTTACACTTATTCGTGTTAGTCAGGACAATTTCGGTTCACCCTTTATGATGATGGTCACGTACATGTGTGTAAAACTTCATTGCGAATGTTGAAAATTAAAGTATATATATATATATATATACATATATATATATATCTTCCGCACAATTCAATGTAATGACAAAGGTGCGATTATGAAGACTGATTGATAGATAAACTTGTAACATAATTCCATAAAGATGATCACTGGAATTCGAGATCATCATCAATTTAAGCTTTAATGCAACAGATGACCTGTTCTCTTAGAAATATCAGTGCTTCTTTGGTAAAACATTTTTAAGCTTGTTCCATTGGATAAATCAGTATGGTTCATTAAACGATTGGCTTCAGTTTTAACAGCAATTTTTCAACGGTTGATAGATGTAGGGATATCATTAGATTTTAAGGAGAAAAACACCGTTATTGAGTGAATTCTAAACGATAGTTGGATAATTCTATGAAGATCTAAGAGAATCATGAGTCATTAGTTTGAAGAGTATGCAGAGCAAAATATTAAGTATTTGCTTAATAGCTAGAAATACTCACTGTGAAATTATAATACTGTAATATAAAACAATTATATAGAGTCGTTAAAAAGTAGATAATATAATTATCTGGAGTGCATATATATTCTATTTAGGTTAGCTAGAATTCAGGTGCTCAACACGCAAACAGTGCATTTTTGGTTGGAATGAACTTTCCAAAATCTGGACAGCTAGATAACTCTTCATCATAACCAATTTAGTTACACTGGATGTTTTATAAGAAATTTATATACCAATTTCTGAAGTATTAAATACAATTTCATTTGAATAGTCTGAACTTAGTTATTTTCAAAGCAAATAACAAAGAAACGAGCACATTCTCTCATCAAATTCTTATTACTTGATTCGAAATAGAGAAAAAAAAGTAGAATTGACTTGTCTCCTTGTCAACTAAAGAAATAACAAAATGAACACGGAAACTGTTATACTAAAATATCAGTTCATAGAAAATAGACCCATAGTTGTCAAGAAACGATGGTCAGGTTAAATCAGTTTTATATAGTCTATAAGGGATCGTTATCATTTGCTTAACAACTGAATCTCTCCACTTTCAATCACCAGGACTTCATCTAAATTTGTCTCTGCCTATTACAACATAACAAGTGAAGTTGAATTACTAGAACTCATAAATGTGAGTACATAAATATGAGTGTGATTACTGAATTAAGTAAAAAAGAAGTTATTTAAGACACTTGAACAAAAATTCTGATAACATTAAAGTATCCTTAGGTAAAATCATTATATAGACATCCGTAGACTTACCTGAAATAATAACTGTTCTAATGTTTTTGCTAAGTGTTGTACCATTTTAGTTCTTTGTTCATCATTAGCATGTACTGCTTGATTAGCACATAAGACTAAATGATGTACATCTGTCCCAACTCTGTTATAGCATATCATTTGCCAAATTAATCGAGGTAAATAGAATAAAATACACTGTAGGCCAAGAACAAATGGCACCCACTGATAATACACTACATAAAATAAAGTAGAAATTTAGGTAGTTTCGAGATAGAAAAAAATTGCTTGTTATGAAATAAAATAATGTTCATTTTCATCTGTACAATCTAGTCGGTCCGATAGTTTTATGACCATATATTGATTTGGACGAGTTCTTGTTGATTTAGGTTAAAATTATATGATTTGACAACTATAACAAGCTACCAGTATGAATCTCATTAATGAAACACTAATGAAGTATTGACTTCTTCAAAACAACCTATCAATTCAACTTGACAGAAATTAATTGTTTATCATGTCATAAAAACAAAATTAAACAGGCCAAACCATCTAATTAAAGATTTTTAACGACTCAACTTGCCAAAGAGAACTAAACACTTTGCCGGTTAGAAACACAGCTCAGTAGTGCATAAAAGCAGTTGACTGTTAATTAGTATATATGAGACCATGAACCAATCAATGCTAAACCACCACCGAAAACCTGGAAGCGGTAGACGGTCGATTCTTTCTAGTATAGGACTTCTCGGCAGTGTGCATCCATGATCCTGCACGCGGGACTCGAATCTAGGTCTAACATTGGTCGGTTCATGATCTCAATTAAAACTCGATAGTCTCCACAACCCTATACTGATATATATATGTTTAAAATCAGTTGAAAGATAGAGATAAAATCAATGAATAATTTAATAAATAATTAGATCTTTAGTAGTAACATAAGCTTTCCAGAACTGCATTTTATTAATGCTAGGTATGTGATCACAGTGATTACTGTGTTTGATTCGATAAAAATGATCTTAAGTTATTAACAAATCAAGAAAATAATAAGTCAGAAACGAAATGGCCTTGAATTTCAGAACGATTCCTTAAGTAAACAAGAATCAGACACAAAACTATTTAAATACGGAAATCCAATTCTTGCTGATCAACTGTTAAATATTTGGAAGTTTTCTACCATTTTTTGAAATGCATTATTCGAAGAGTGAAATATTTCAGGTAACTTTACCTCTGTTCAGGATGATATGTCTAACTAAATAAAATTGATTTTTCGAACATGCCAATAGTGTGAAACAGAGACTCATCAACAATAATGAATGATGAACATATTATAGCTTGAATTAAGTGGAATTTCGGGCACCGATTCAGAGGTCCATGCGTATGGTTACGCATGTTCATTGCCGATGAACCCAGAATTGAGACGAAGCAGATTTTGAATTCCAACTAATCTCCAACGATTTCACAGTTGATATTAGTCATAATTTACTCATTGAAGCCGAATCAAGAAACACAGTAATCATAAATCATAACCACTGCAAAACTAGAATCAATTTGTTTTTTATTAGATAGAATATATCCAGTTTTATGGTTGATTTGAAATATTGCAAATAATTATCAGGTATATATGACTTAAAACCGACGAAACCTTTTTGCAAGTGGAAAACGGTAATTGGGACAGTTGTTGGTATTTAACTTGTGTAGCTGTTAATCTATCCGCAATATGATTTACTCAGAGATCTAAAATTTTAATTTTTCATGTTTCTTACAAGCTATAACTGCCACCAACACAGATAGGTTGTAATATAACCAATAATGAAAGTGACTCAAGTAGTGAAAAAATGAATGATTAGTGACTGGTTTTTAGTTAATTACAAAGATACTAGCAACGAGTGAATTTATTTACAATCTTAAGTTGCTACTGTGTTCCAATAGATTAATCAACGCAATTACTGAACGTGTCTAAACAGATAAGCTCATAAACTGATAATAGAAAAAAATTAATTACATTTTCCCTATGTACATCTTCTCAATGGTGAGTGAATACTTAAGATATAGTAGATTTAAAAAATTATGACAATAATTCTTTGTTGTTAGCTGTAAAACAAGCACTTATATCATTATTTTTCTCACAGAAATCGTATTATCTACTAATCATTCAACTAATTAATTTTCTTGATGAAGTTGACTTTTAAGACAATCTGAATATACTACATGATGGATTCAATTATTTCTTAGAGGTCGTAAATAAACCTACAACAAGACATGAAATTTATACTTAAAACGTGGGAATCAAATACTCACGTAGTTTATGCTTCTCTAATTCCGCCCAACCTTCATCTGTCTCTGGTACTCGACCAGAATATGCTATAGGGACAGTGCCCTGAACCCAACAGTAGTTCTCAACATAATCTAATAAGTTTTTTCCACCCAAATCTGTTGCCATGTAGCATGAAATCGGTTTCATCATATACTGTTTGATAGTGACAATTGTTGTACAAAGCATAAGAACCATAACTGTTATGAGAAAATTAAATTTATCCGCAAAATCTTCAACTCCGACATAGGTAGCGACTTGAAACTTTGATAAATAATCCAAGAACTCTGTGCCGATCATGTCGACTGTAAATCAAAGACCTTTCCCATTTTATTTCAGAAATAATATCATCAAGGTTTTATGAGCTTTGTGTGAATGGATGAAAGAATTGGGGAAATTGTTAACATCTTATTGGTTATTTTAAAAATCAATGCAGTTGTTATTGTTTTTATTGGTCAATTAGGAATCGTGGGCGGTCAATATATTTCATAATTAAAAGGACTTGGGATTTTAACGACGCAATTAAGGATTATTCAGTGTAATTGACGTTCAGTGTAATTGATAAGACGTTAGTTGCTATTTGTTTTGATGATGAATCTTGGTGTGACTGTACTACCGAATATAACTTTAAAACTGCTTGGAACCGATGAAAAGCGGTAAATTACGATGTTTCGTTAGTTTCTATTCATTTTCACAGAATATGTCATGTCCTATTTCTGTCTGAACTCCTATTATTATTAATGAGAATCTACATGTAACTATTATTAATAAAACATCGAAAATGACGAAGACAATAAGTATTAACTAACAAATAATATTTAAGTGCAAACCCATTCTTTATCTGTAGTTATTAAGTTTCCATACATAATACTTAAATAACATTGATTCAGCAATGTTATTTTCAAACAATCTGAACTGATCAGACTTTTGTAATTATTGTTCAAGTATACGTAAGAGTACGTAAATCCTAATGTCATCTAGCCAAATTTAACAGGAGAATTATGTATCACACTCATGTGAATTTTTTAACACTCATTAGAATAAAACTATTCACACAGCATCGCCAAATAAAATCAAATAGGACAGGTTGGTATTTAGAAATCTGATAACTTTGTATTAGATAAAAAAAATGCAGTATAATAGAGGACAAATTTTCCATCCTATGTTAGACAAATCAGCTGAATATACGTGCATGTCAGTCTTTTGACACACACACTCACACATTAAAAATTCAACCTTAAATTCACCAATGAATACTATCAAATGTTATCCACTATAATAATTTATTACGACTGATTATCTTTCTAATTAAATAGCAATAACTTAAATAACTCATGTAGAATTAAAATCATAATTTAAGAACCTGGAGCTATCAGTGAGGACAAACCATCAACATCTATTAATTAAAACAAATAAGTGCTGATTTTAATGTATTTTCGTGGTTATTTTCTCTTTCAGTTACCTATATTGATCCTAACCGATTAATTTTTGGCGATTTTTTCATACAGATCATAAAGTACATTTGTTACATAGTAATTTATTCGTTTGAGCACTCATGGTGCATGAGTGAAAACTTTCGGTTCTGACGTCTTCGATGCCGTCAGGGTGCCTAACCGGGACGAAAATGCTGACAGTGTATTTTGGTTTCTAAAGCTTTTTTATATGATCCCAGTTCAAATTTAATTAATTTTTATGACTCACTTAACTAAATTTAAGAAGTTTCCTTTTCACTACAGGATCCCTGAAGCTTACTTATTTATTCCTTCTACCCATCTTAAAGGAGCATAGGTCAATCACCAGCATCGACAATTCAACTCTGTCCTGGGTAATCCTCCACAGTTGTTTCCAGTTGCTATTCATTCTCTTGATGTCTGCTTCCGATTACGATGCAGTGTGTTACTCGGCCTTCCCTTTTCTGTTTCCCTTTAAAATGCCAATTTAATGCTTGCCTCGAGATACACTTTGATTATTTCCTCAATGTATGTCCTATCCACTTGGAGTGCATCTGTCGGCTGTCTTCCATGCATCACTTTGCAGTTCAGTCCGTCGTGACAATTCCGTACGATTTTGAAGATTTTCTCAGGTACTCCATAGTGTCGAAAATGATTTATGAGTTTCACCTATTACTAATGTCGAATGCTTTCTCATAGTCAAGGAAGTTGATTTACAGTGACGGATTTCATTCCATTGATCATTCAACGACGATCCGTAGTGTCGCTATTTGGTCTGTGAACGACCGACCCTTGCGAGATCAGGTCTGCTGACCTCGAAGTTGGGCATCTACTGCGTCTTACATCCAGTTCAGCAACACTGTGTTGAAAACTTTTCCTGCTGCTGACTGTAGTGTGATACCTCTGAAGTCCTCACACATGCTAAGATCTCCTTCCTTTGGTATCTTGATGGGTTGTCCTTCTTTACAGTCCGTTGATACTTGTTCCTCCTCCCAAATCTTCTTGAATAGAAGATGAAGCATGTTTGAAGTTACTTCAGTGTCTGACCTCAGTGCTTCAGCTGGTATATTGTCAGGCCCTGCTGCTTTCCCACACTTGATTTGCCTGATGGCTATCCTGATTTCTTTGGTCTTTGATGCGGTGACATCTATAGGGAGGTCTGTGTGTGATGCCTCGATGTCCGGTGGATTTAATGGGGCTGGTTTATTCAACAGTTCTTCGAAGTATTCTACCCACCTGTTCCTCTGTTCCTGAATCTCCGTGACTGTCTTGCCTTCTTTGTCCTTTACCGGTCTCTCGTTGACTATATCTCCTGCTAGTTTCTTCGTTGTATTATATAGCTGTTTCATACTACCACCTCTTGTGGTTTTTTGCCGTCATTGCCAGCTCATCCACCTATTTCTGCTTGTCCTCTTTAATGCTTCTCTTCCCTTGCTTGTTTGCTTCTGTGTACTCAGCTTGTACTTTCGTATTCTCTGCTTGTGTCCGGGTGTTGATAATTGTTATCTTCTTGTTCTTCCTTTCTTCAATATTGTCCAAGGTTTCGATGGAGATCCACTCCTTATGATGATGCTTTTTGCGGCCCAGAATCTCTTGACACGTTGAAATTAGTGTTTCTTTGATCCTTCTCCAGTTATGTTCCAAAGTAGATTCTTCTTTCAGTAGAATATCCACCTGTAGCTCTCTTAGAGTTACTGCCGGTCTCAAATCCGGATAAAGGACGAGGGTTAGGCATGAGGTCGGTAACGCCAACCAGACTAAACAAATTAAACCATTTAAACTGTGCCCTGGGAATTGAAGGAAGAATTATGACGCCTCAAGATGAAAGGCGAGATTCTTCGGAAGTCACGAGGCCGATGCCCGTTCTAACAACCATAGCAATAATTTTTATAGGTACATGGAACGTCCGGACAATTTTGTCGTATACTGATGATTATTCATTATTAATCTTGATCTATTTCCCATATTATTTCATGAAACTAAGTGCCTAATAAATTATTAGTTCCTTTTACGCCTCTGAATCGGATGGAAAAGTGGAACTCAATCGTTCTTTTTTATTCATTCTCCCTTGACAGTATGTTACTTCTAAAGCAAGACAACAAAGTTATCAGAGATTAGAGGTTTTTAGTTTCATGAATAGAATTTGAAATATTTTTTATTTCTGAATGGACGAACGGAAGTAAATGTTTATTTTAATGTCTTGGAAAAAGAACCCAGTAGATTTATTGTTTAGTTTGGTATTTGTTTAAATCCAGAACGTAATTTAAACAATAATAAGCTCAGTATCATCAATCTATTAATAGACTTAGTAAAATAGGGTGTTTAAACAGAATGTTAACCATGTCTTCTAAACCATATTGATTGCTTTTTAAAAGGACAAGTATTTTATGTTTTATTCAAATCAGTGTCCTTGTTTTCAGCGGTCAAGGTTACCTGCAGGTATTTAAGGTCATCTAACTAAATAAAGTTTTTTTAAGATTATTTCATAGCGTGTTACTTTTGAGCTAATAGCAATGAGATGTACAGATTGGTCAAAATACGTGAGAGATTTAACTTATATTTATTATTATAAGCCTAGATGATTTAATTAAATAGCGAATAATAATTGGATGATGATCAAGCTATACCGAGAATTGACTAAAATTAAGCAGATATAATCAATATTATATCTAAATAACATGATGACATAAACTTTATACAACTGAACATAACTGGTGGATATCAAGTTCACTCGACATTTAGTACGGATCAGCACTGACCTATGGCACAAATATCTTCTAACTGAGCTAATTTCTACAAACAAACAATTGTCTTATGATCACTAACGACTACATTCAAAATTGTTCTCGATAAATTTTTATGAGAAGTCGAACCTGATAGAACTGAATCAACTTGTATGGGAGAAAGGAATTAAGTGAATTAAGGATCACTGGATTATGGCTGGATGATATCGGTTCATCATGGGATCTGGTAGTGAAAGTTATGTATTGGGTTGTCAGCTCACCTTACTGAGAGCCCCCGACATTTTATGGACAGGGATCCCGATGCACCTAGATTTTCAAAGGTTTATCAGCTATTGTCTGTACTTCGAAAATTTTTTTTGAATGATGAACGAATTGACTATGATAGAACCATGATTCGAATTAAACAGTCACTGTCTAAATAATATATAAACTTAAAAGAATTGTCGATAACTTTTACCGTCGTACGACTGGATATCAGTTAATTAATTTTGTTAAAAGCAGTGATACTCCAAAAAAACAGTCTATTTCACGTGAAATTATCACATAGACGGGACAATAAGTGATAAAAATATTTACCGCAAGTATCTGATTAACTCATGGATTGTTTCATATTGATGTCACACGAAGTGAAAGTTCCAGTGATCGTAATCCGAAAACCGTGTTTTGTACCTACTTAATCTGCAGTTATGTTGCTTTTGTTGAATATTTCGTACATAAATGATAACTGTCATCAGCCAAACTTATATTCATTTAGTGGGGTGGGAGGTTTGCTTCTATCACTTAACACTATATGTTCGGCCACCTCAATAACCACAATATTTCACATAATATTTGTGCTGTTACAATCCCCTGGGATTATTTGATCGATGTGTAGTGAGATTTTGCGTTATACGCCAAGCCGACATAAAATGAGTATACACATTTTAACGAATTACTTTTTTCCAGAAAAAAACTCAGTAGAATTCATTTATGCGTATTTACTAGATTGTATGAAATAAATATACAATAACTGATGTCTAATTATTTTGAACCTATTTTTCAAATCAAGTACAAGTATTCTTTCTGAGCTAAACTATATATATATATATATATATTCTGTCAGTTATTTAGTGATCCTGTCTTCTAAAATTTATTTTATTAGGTTGTTGTAATCGAACCTGTGGAGGAATTATCCAATGAGTTAACCCAGTTACCCCAATATGTTATCATTTTGTTATAATGTCATTATGAAACATCTTCGATGATCTTCCCTCATCAGAGATTTCTAAAGACGGTTAAGGAAATGACGCAATTGAAGTTGCTGACACATTTCTTTACGCGTTAAGTAGACAGTAACACAACTATCAACCAATGAAAATGACTTGATCATGTCGCAGGAATTGAAAAAGCTTGTGTATGATGATTTCGTTTTGGCTTGTTAGGAATTTAACAAGATTTTTAAGAAATTATTATAAGTTAATTTTAATAATTAACGCTTAGTTCCTTTAAAGTAAGAATAAGAAAAGAAAGAATAGGTATTACCTGACTTATCGGTTATTATTATGTTTTACCCAATAATTGTACCTTCTTGTAAATAAAAAAAATAGACGGAAATATGTTTCTTGCATAGCACATTATATTAAATGGACAATTTAAGTCAAAATAAAATGATCTATATTAAATTTTTGTTCAGATAAATAAAATTGGAATTGTGGTAATTTCGAGTAGTTCCCTCGTTTAACCAGAATAAATCACGAATGGCAATAGATGCTGGTTTTTCATTTTCGATATTTGTATGATTCCTACAAGTAGTAAGACAGAAAATTAGTCATTAATTCATAACGAGATTAATACACACAAACGGAATGACAATCTATTTAATAAATGATACTCCCTTATGATAAATGAGGTGATCTACAAAGTTAAATGAACTGAAGATATGTATGGGTCAACCCATTTTCAGATGACTAATAGTCAACGTCACATAATGTGGCATACGTCATTGTGGCGTTTGATTACAGTCGTTGTATAATTATGAAGTATTAGAGTTCCACACTAAATTTGAAATAGCTGGACGTAAAAACAAGTGTGAATTTCAGTCATGTAACACTCAACTGATGTTAATATTCGTGATGACATCTCGTTATCAAGAAAAATGACAAAAACTTTATGGGGCTATAAATTTATGTTAAAAAACTGTGTCACGGAAAAACTTCAGTTTTATAGTAGATAATTTGCGGTTATAACAGAATATATCATAGGTATGTAAAGTAGTATTTAAAACAGTATTTTTTAATTTCAATAGTTGAGATCAAGAGTAAATTGAAGCTAGACCACCATGGAAAACCTGGAAGCACTGAACAGCCGTTTCGTCTTATTGTGAGACTCCTCAGCAGTGCACATCCACGACCCCGCCCCGAGGGATTCAAACCCAGGTCCTACCAGTCTTGCGCCAGGCGCTTAACCAACTAGACCACTGGGCCGGCATCCATTGGTGTTAATGTCTAACTTCAACTAATCCACGAAATTGAGCGACACATCCACCATTGTCATCAGTGAGTTACTACCTCACAACTGACCCGATTGAACTCCAGTGGTCACTGCTTCTTACTAGAACTCCAGGACATATCTCTTGAAGCGAGTCACTAATGAGCATATGTTGATTGGTATCACAAGGGGTTTTGCGGAGATTGTAGTCATTTTATTAGTTGAGATCATGAGTCAATTGAAGCTAGACCATCATGGAAAACTAACATAGAAAGTTTGTGTATTTCAAAAATATTGAGATGAGAGTAACTAAACTGAGTTTTAAGTAGATGCTATCGTACTTGAAATTTCTAGTAACATCCAAGATAATCAGATCCGAAATAACTTTTGAAATATTAGTGACATCAACAAGAATGTAACATTTTACTTAAAAACTATTTATTTCATATCCAATGAAAAATCGTACTAGTTTAGCTATCATATATTCAAAGATTGTTCAGCATAAAGAAGAGAAAAAGATAGTCGTTTTATGTAAAAATTTAAAGATATATTAAATGAGCTTCAAATAACAATCGATATAGAATACCTTGACCATATAATTACAGTATTAAAACCTTCAGTTGTTAATTTAAGAGAAATTAAGTGCTAAGACTATCATCATTTCTGATATTTAAAAAATGGAATCAAATTTACATCTAGAATGTCGATAAAATAAGAACAAATTCGTACTTGCAGCATCTACAGAAAGAAATAACACAATATAATGTCATGCTATAGAGTTAATTTTGCTAATATTAAAATAATTCAGAAAGAGTTCAGAAATTACGTTGAATGAAACTTGGCGCTATCTTTATACAAGTTCGTCTTAGTAGGAACGGAGAAACAAAGCAGAATTTACATAACTGAAGATCCACTTTTGCAGCCTAATTTAATAACCAGATATATATTTAGGCTAAACCTATATATATATATATATATATATATATATATATATATATATATATATAATAGGGAAATCTAGCATTGAAGTATAGATTTCGTTTAGACTGGAAGTACTTCTGTCACGTGTTAATATCTTTTATCACTCAAAATAAGTCATTTGACTAAGTCAAGACACAAAATGGAAAGAATTGATCAGGACCAATCGAATCCCTACTAATATCTGCTCAACCGAAATAATATGACACAAAGAGACAAGTTTCTAGTGCCTCCTAGTTTCGAATAATATTCTTAGTTAAGACCAACTCTTCGATCTACTTGAAATATAGATTGTCCTTGCAAAATTATTTACCTGCTTCATTCATTGATCTTTTGTAGCAACCATTTCTGTCCATATCGGATCATTCGGTCGATATTTCGAGACTGTACTCTAGAAAAGTATAAAAAGCGTATCACTTGGAAAATAATTGAAACCAGTGTAAGAAACAGAAATGTTGTTGATTTGGAGTTACTTTTTTATAACCGACTTCTGTCTTCTGAAAAACCAAGAAGCACTGGACAGTTTTCGTTGTATTTTAAGACCTCTCAGTTGTCCACATTTGATGAAGTTAGCTCGCGACAATTAACTCGCAAGTTGTGATTTTAGACAGTATAAAAAAGAAATTCGTTCAAAAATTGAAGTATCTATAGGTTTCCCATTTAGAAATTTAGTTTCAACAATGAATTCATGTTATATGGTCACGGAGTTTTTCAGCTTATAGATTACAAACTAGGCCAGATCAATAAATAAATCCAGTGCTAAAAAAACTTTATCACACTCAATTAAACTGATCATAAAGTCTTAAAAAATATGAAAATTTTGATTTTTAAGGCGGCTTAATTATGACTGATTAATATTGATTTTTATGAAGTTAAAGATGGAAAATTAAACTGGCTTTTTTCAGGTTGAGCAATCCACGAAAGTAGGACACAGAGTGGTGATCAGTGTTACGGTATACATTCGAAATAACTGCATCTCTTATAAAAACGGTTTTATTTCTTGATGAAACATCCGTCCTTTCAGTCTTGTGGCACCTAATATTCCTCATTGATCTTCCTGGAAAGAAAATAGGGTATCTGCGCAGTTCCCTGTATGTCTGATATCAGTGCTCCAGCTGGCATGTTATTCGGTCTTACTACTTTGTCATTCCTGACTTATCTGATGTCCTCACTCACTTCTTCTTTTGGTGGGCTATCCACTGTAGTGAGATCTGTGCATACTAATTCAATGTTCGATGGGTTCAATGGGACTGGTATAGTCGAGAATTCTTCGAATTGCTCTGCCCACCTGTTCCTCTGTTCTTCAATCTCAGTGATTAACTTGCATTCATTGTTCTTGAATGGTCGCTCTAGTTTACCATATTTTCTCCTGGCTTCTTCATTGTATTATGTATTTGTTTGATATTCCCTTCTCTTACAGGTTTTTCCTCTGTCATTGTTAGGTCTTCCACTTATCTCCACTTGTCGGCTCTAATGTTTGCCTTCACTCGTTTTTTCACTGCTGTGTATTCAGCGTATGTCTTGGCATTCTCTGATCTTGGTCTCTTGTTGTTAATTTCTGTCTTCTTGTTCTTCCTTTCTTCGATGTTGTCTAGGGTTACGATGGAGATCCACTCCTTATGAAGATACTTGTTGCGGTCCAGAATCTCCTGACACGTTGAAATTAGTGTTTCTTTGATCCTTCTCCACAGTGGTTTTCTCTTCTTTGAGATCTTGTAAGGCTGTATTAAACTTTTTAATGCTGTTTCGCCAGTTGTCCAGTGTTCCTTTAGCTTCAGTCTCATCTTGACCACAACCACATGATGATCTGAAGCTATGTCAGCTCCTTTCTTGGTTCTCATGTTTTCCATGAACCTTTTGGACATTTTATTGATGCAAATATGATTGATCTGCTTTTCTGTGGTGTGGTACGGTCAAACCCATACGGCTTAGTGTATGGGTTTGTGGGGGAATATTGTGCCACCTATAACCATTTTGTTGAAGGCTAATAAATCTGCAGATCTCTCACCATTCTCGTTCCTTTCTACCAGTCCATGTCGCTCCATGACACCTTCATATCCGATGTTGTCTATTCCGACTTTAAAGTTCGGGTCTCCTATCAGGTTGACCAAGTCGTTTCCTGAGCACTTCTCGACGATCGACTTCAGCCTCTCATAAGACTGTTCTTTATCGTCTTCATTGCAGTCATTGGTAGGTGCATAGTACTAGATAACATTCGTTGTGATTCTCTTTTCTTTGTCTTGAAGGATGCTTTAATGATTCTGAATCCATGAGATTTCCATTTTATAGGTGCCCTTCATTCCTTTTTGGATAGCATCAGTGCAAGTTTTTTCTATGTATGGGACATTTTGTTCTTCATGGTCAAAATTCACTAACAGTAATCGTGAAGTCAGTTTTTTTAATTCAAATTTTTAAAACAGTTGTATTTATCCACGTAATATATTCTCTCTTCTGTTTGAAGGACACTGCAAGTCTCTTACGTTGTCTGGACATTCCATGTACCTGCAATAATTGTTGCTCCGGTTGTCAGAAGAGACATTATACTCTGTTATTTCAAAGAACCTTTGCTTTTACCATAAAGATATATTGGAAAGATTAAAAATTATTTTAGAATTTAAAAACCAATCAATTTGTAAACAAATAAGTATTTGATATTCATCAGACAAAGAATCGAGTAGTCTTATTTCTCTAAAATTTTATCGCAAATTCGTTGCAGTTCGAACGTGAAATCTAAGACAGAAACCGAACAACATAACATTACATGATCAAATATTATTTGATAATTATAAATAAGAAAAAATAGATAGTGGCTAGCAGTGGAAACGACGACGAGCGTTTCGTCCTATTAGGGACTCTTCAGCTGAATGTACTTGCATCCTAGAGTTGATGTTCACTCCAGGACTCGAACACGGTACCGTTCGCTTCAAACGCTATCGCATAAACCACTTAGCTGCTGAGTCCTGATAGCCACTTGCTTGTATAATGGGGTGAAGTTTAAATTCACTTGGTGTTGTTTTTACTAATAGCTAAGTGAATAACGTGATGACGTTTGAAGCGAACGGTACTGGGTTTGAGCCTCAAAGTGAACATAAACTCTGAGATGAAGGTACATTCAGATTACGAGTCTCAAATAGGACGAAACGAGAGTCCTGAATTTCACTACTAGCCACCATTCATCTTTGTTTATAATGTTTGTGATTTAAGACAATATCGAGGCAATCTGCACAGGATGCACATATGCCAACAAAAGATTGATGAATTGCAGTCCTAAATAACAAAGGGGAGATACATGTAAAAAAAACCCAACACCAAGTGAATTCATAAATGAGAAACTACCGAATGATACATTTTGTTTTTTTTTCAGTCAAAAATTTATATGATTGAAATCAAATTTAGAGACATAACCTCAGCTTGTGTTTTGAACAAAATCATGTGATTATTCAATCGAGTTTTAGCTTATAACTTCTTTGTAATACATGTAGGATAGACAGATTCATTTAGATAGAGGGTTGTAAGAACTGTCATTTTATTACTGTTTTTATATTTTTAATTTCTTTGGTACAAGTATAGAAACATTAATGAGATGGATAATGTTTAAAAAAATACAAGCAGATTTAGTCAATTTACAATCATTGGAGAAAATCTCATCTACTTAATTGATTCATGTTTCTTATTTGTATGAAGTTTAACCAATTACATGGATACAAGGATTTGTAATTCATAAGAATAAGTTTGAAATTCTACTATTCGTTTAACAAACCACAATGATAACTTTCTTTTCAAGTAATTTTTCAGTATTATTCTTCAAAGGCTAATTCTTAAACTCAATAGACGAAATAATGTGAATTCTGGTTCTCATTAATCAGGTATTTCGCATGAGTATGAAATAGTTGTTTAGTTTTACTTTTCTACTATTCCCTAGCTGATATCAATCAATTCATAATGAAAAGTATCTACAAACGATTCGAATTTTTCCATAAAACTATGACGATTAACAATTACCCATTATCTCGGGAGGGTGAGAAATTAAATTCCCACTGTTTAGTACCTTATCAATGGGTTAACTAAGTAACTTTCAACCATTACACAACCGGTGACATATCTATCTCTCTTCGATTTTTTTATGATTTATATTTTTGTTTGTCCAACAACAGGAGTAAATCTTAGCTTAATACAAAGATTTACATCAAATTGTTTGGTTGCAATAAAATCTCAATTCGTTATTTATGGGAGTTCATACTTCTTTATAAGCCAATAATTATATCTAAAGTAATTTGTACGTAAACAGTTAACAATGAATTGAATAACTTTATAATTCACTATCTTTCTGTTATGGTTCATTAACAATATGAAAAACATGGTTTTCTTTTCTTTTCAGAATTATATCCACCTTAATGTTCTAACATTGTGTTTACTAGACATTACAACTTATCTCTAAATCAGCTGATCTAATTTACTGATAATAAACTTATAAAATGTGATCTTTTCGAAATATAGTCATTTTTATTTGAATGATACTTTTTAAATAATCAAGATGGTAAACAAATCTACATATTAGCAAGTTCATGTTGATTTCATGTTTATTTACGTAAACTTACAACATAAATCAATGATGTTATATTTTAGTATAATTAAAAATAAGATGAAAGTCATTAACCTATACAATTAGAAACAAATAATGTATGTTTGCCAATTTATTCAAATATATCAGTGTATATTTTAATGTTAGTCAAAACAAATCTTATTTAGATGTATACGATTAGTAATGTCAACAAACATTTTATTCAAGTTTATTAAATTTTTACTCCTGTGGCTAAATTCACATTCCTTACTATTCATAGATATACCTATTACTCAGGGATTCAATCATCTGGAACTATGTGTACTGTGAATGTCTATGGTTGGAAATTCTGTTAATAATATACCTTTAAAATTTGTTGTATGTATATTAATACTCTGGGATTACAACACATACGTAGTGTTGAGATTGTCAATTGTATCATTTATTTGGGAAGATTAATCAGTCCTAATTAACCGATGACTGACTTAATTTATACCCAAACTAGGATTCGTGATTCTCACTTGAAAAATGTAAACATGAGTGCATTATATTTTGTTACACTATTGTGAAACGAATTTGATGACTCATACAATGTTAGCTTACCTCAACATCTGAGGGAAAACACGGTATACAATGGACAGCTCAGAATCAATTAGACGATTTGGACTTCGCAGATGACCTAGCCCTCCTATCACGTACACATGAACAAATGCAGATAAAGACAACCAGTGTAGCAACAATCTCTGTATCAGTAGGCCTCAGCATACACAAGGGGAGAACCAAGGTCCTCAAATTCAAAGCGGAGAACAGAAATCCAATCACTCTTGACGGCGAAACTCTGGAAGATGTAGAATCCTTCACATACCTAGGAAGCATCATCGATGAACAAGGAGGATTAGATGCAGACGTAAAGGCAAGGATTGGTAAAGCAAGGGCCGCATACATACATACATACATATGGAACTCAAAACAACTTTCAACCAATATCAAAGTGAAAATCTTCAATACGAACGTCAAGACAGTCAATTCTACTGTACGGAGCTGAAACTTGCAGAACTACAACAACCACCATCAAGAAGGTGCAAGTATTTATAAATAGCTGTCTACACAAGATACTCAACATCCATTGGTCGGATACCATCAGCAACAGCCTTCTGTGGGAGAGAATAAACCAGCTTCCAGCTGAAGAAGAAATTAGGAAAAGACGATCGAAATGGATAGGACACACATTACGCAAATCGTCAGACTGCATCACGAGGCAAGCCCCAACTTGGAATACTGAAGGGAAGCGTAAAAGAGGAAGGCCAGAGAACACATTACATCGGGAAATAGAAGATATGAAAAGGATCAATAGGAACTGGAAAGAGCCGGAAAGGATTGCCCAGAACAGGGCTGGATGGAGAATGCTGTTGAGTGGCCTACGTTCCTTCACGAGGAGTAACAGACGTAAGTAAGTAACAATGTTAGCTTAAAGGACTTATCAAATTATTTATGAATTATTGTTTAATTATTACTTTATCGAATTACAAATATTATATAAGGTCGAGAAAATCCTTTTTAAAACGTTGAGAATATACAATAGAGATGACAACAATGTATGTGAAACAAACAATACTAATATCAACTTAAACAGGCGAAGATGGCTCGAACTATACAAGTTGTGTTTAATTCCTCTGAGTGACAAAGTCAAAGAATGGTAATAATCTTCAAGAATGTCGAATTTTGTAGTGACGAAATAAAAATCTGTAGACCCTTTCATCTGTTTGGGCAAATAGTAGAAAGAATTAGAATGTGGAAATCTAAAGTTGCATTCCATTGAAGAAAATGAATGCTGTTTTTAATTGATCATTAACGGTGAACATTTGCTAATCATTACTTTGATTTATTTTTACCTAACTACTGCCTTCTATCAGTACTATCCATTACATATGTTATTCATATGTATATATGTATATAATGGCAAAAACGTTAGTATATTATTAAGTAAAGTATTTAGTATTTAGTCAATTAATTCATTGTCCAAACATCTTATTTCTTATAATTCATAATGAGATTAAAGATATTTTAAATACAAATGTGGAAATATGGAACAAGAGTGGTTATTTCAACAGGTGGATTTAAATTTATTTGATTGTACCCATAGGTTAACACTTTGGAAAAATGTGAAAATCCTTGTTGTTATTATTTTTAATTTTTCATATTTTCTTATTGTTGATATTTAGGAATAGGATTAATTAGTTTCTACTGGATAACGTTCAATAGATAATGTGTTGTCATTTGAAGATAAAGTTACTCAGTTTGAGCCCAATTGTGAACAACAAAACCGGAATACGGATACATTGCACTGACGAGTTCTGAATGGGAGGAAAAATACGTCCTGTATTTCACTGCCAAATATCAAACACGCTTGCTAATATATCAAATAATAATAACAATAGTAATAGTAATAATTATTCTTAAGTCTTTGTGTGGTGTTGATTTTGCCAAGCTAGATAGTTTGACTATGAAGCTTTTATTATTATTCTGGACAACATCTTCATTTCCTAATTTATATACAAATGAGCTTTCTAATCATTCCACAAGTGATCTATCTATTTATTATGACGACATTTTTGTAATTAGTTTTCTTCGTAGGTTTGGTCATCTTCGTTTGCTTTCGTGAAATCATGTTCTTACATGCAGCATTCATTCACTAAACGAACGGGAAAACGCCTGAAAAAGATTGATGCAGTACACAAATGGGACACTGGAAAACTTATTAGCCACAAATTCATAAGGGTGTGTCCCATCTCGAAAATATCCCCTGATGTATTCGGATTTAGTGAAAAAGAAGTTTAAACATCCAAGTCATTCACAAAACACTGTTCATCTTTCACTATTGACAGTTATTGCATAAATTTAAGGTAATTTAAGCTACTAATATGGGTCAGCTGAGATGATGGTGGCTAGCAGTGGAAGCCAGGAGGCGCGTTTTGTTCTATTTTGGATTCGTCAGCTGGATGTACCTGAATCCTAGAGTTGGTACTCAAGTAAGCAATACAAAAATGAATTAGCATTATGAGTGTTGATAATTCGGTTAGAATGGATAACAACAGAACATTCAGACATATCTTTATTGATAATCATTATTATGGTCATCAAAACCGAGGAATCAGCTAACGAGTCCCAAACAGGGAATGATGCGCATCTCTCTTTTCACTGCTAGCCACATCCCATCTATTTTTATGCGATGTCAGCCATCTTAAACTGAACATAAGAGGAAATATAATGCACTGTTGAATTCTGTCGGACGTTAGTAGAACAGTAGAAAAGGTTTGGTCAATGATGTGAATGAGTGAAACTGACCCATTTTTATGTGTTAAATGAGATGCCTTTATTTTTTCTTGATTTTTGCAGGCTTTAAAGGACATTTTATATTACCATGAAATGATATCACAATGATTTCAGTTGGTTTATAAAAGTTGGCTTTTATATTACGGAAGGTTATTAGACTAAACGCTTCTGAAGAATTTTAATGAATTCTGCTTCACTCAATTTTATTACTAGTTATGACAAACTGAGAGGAAATTTCAAGTAAATTGGTTCAGTTGAGTTTTTTTAAAGACGATTTATGCAGTAATTTTGGTGTTAAACTGTTATCAACAAAAGAGGCATTGAAAATATGGAAGCATGGAATAACTAGTTAGACCTAATTTCAAATCTATAACATACAACCACAAGCAGTCGATAAATTTAAGTAGATATAATACTTTAAAATCAATATGTTTGGATCTAATAGCTCGTGTGTATACATTTTTAGGATAGTCTTGAACTATTTATAAAAAATAGATATATTTTAGTTTATTGACAAGACCTTTCATTCGGTGTAGTTTTGTTCTCTGAGCTGGATGGTTTGGTCGTGGAGCTTTCATCGTTCTTCTGGACGTCCAGAGCTACAAATCTTCTCAACCATCTCAAGATCTTTCTTTTTTGAATGAATTCATATAGTAGTTGAATCATATCCAAATATTCAATTAATGTAAGAACTTACTTTTAATTGTCTAATTTGTTTTGCTTGTTTCCTAATCGTTTCTTCTAAATCATTTTGATATTGTCGCATAGCTAATTGTTCTTTTGATATTTGATAAAATGACATATTATTCTGTAATAGGAAAAATCACTAGAAGCTTTATTCTCTTTTTTAAATAGGATTTGTTCACTATATGAGTAACAAATAAATGCGTCACAGTTGATAAGTTATGTACAAAGATAATTCTATGTTGCTATGCTAATTTGTTTCTAAACTAAAATTTTTATTAGTTACTCTTCATTAGGGATAAACTATTCAAGTATGTAGATAATTTTTAAAACTATAGAGAGCTAACGTAATTCAAATAAAACTAATGGTTGTTGAATCGATACACACCAATTATTGTTAATATTATGTCAATGCAACAGGCATAAATAATGAATAAAATTGCCAATGTTTATGGGTTAATTTTTACTATTAGTAAAAATAGCATTATATGTTATGATCGTTATTATTCACTCTTTCAGTGTACCATATTACCAATGAACTTTATATGACAGGCGTATATCTCTTCTTTCAAAAGAGTACTGGAACGTTAGAGATTGTCAACAGGGATCTGTAGACCCGCAGGTTTTTGTCTTAAAATAGGATTTCAACAATTCAATATTAGGTTCTGTATCGTTGTGATATATAAGGCAATCGAAATTTACACTTTGCTGAGGATGAAATTATCTAGAAAAAAAAAGAACAGTTCTGTGCATTTTGTTAGCTATATGAATACTGCATCATTTAGGTTGTGATAAAGAAAACGGATTAGTTTTACATTCATCGGTTTGTTGGGTCTTACGTAATTCTGTTAATACAATAAGTTTATTGTACAATAAGCTAACCTATACGTAAGTTATCAGATTTATTCGTTTCTTGTACTTTATATTAAGCAACAAACATATATTCGCTAAACCGTATTTGCCCTATTAGGTATTATATTCAGTTAAAACAAACCTATTTTCTCTGAATAAAAGTAAAATAGAGTTCTGAGAAACAGAGTTAGTCAATTACTATTACATACAAAATCCTAGTCATACTAACTTGTTATCAAAGCCGTATCAATCAAAACTACACCCTGTGGATAGTATTTTAGTCTGTTAATTTTTCTCAATTCGCGTTTCGTAAAAGATTCGAATCCTTGCTATGCACTGAGGCGGTCAAAGGTATTACAATTCAGTGTTTACATTTTGACTTATTCAGGTTGAAATGAATAATCTATTCGTGGTTTCTTCTAATCCGATTATCAATTCACTTTTCAGATCCATATTCTGTATAAACATCTTTCATTCGTATTTCTAAATACTTCTCAGTTACATTTATCATATAGTTTTCTATGTTTTTTAATAATTAATAGCACAGTTACTATACATTCATCCACTTACAACTCTTAATAAGCGTTAATTAGTTATACTCCAATAAGTAGATAGAATTTTCGTTACAGTTCCAATACATTTAAGATTTTTATAAACTTCCCTCATAAATTATTTGCTAGTCTTATCCTAACACTTGTTAAATTTTTACTTCCTTATATTATTATTATTTTCACCCTTATATTCCTTCCTTACCCCTTGATTATTGCGCAACTTCATCTGATAATAATTCATGATGCAATCTTCTATTCTTCTACAGATATGTATTTTCCATATAACTAAATACGAATGTACAGCTTAAGTAAATGATTTTTCTCACTGAATTCTCTTTATTTTTATTCAATGACATAATGGGTTATTTTAATTCCACATACATTAAACACAATATCTACATTTGGTAAAAAAAACAATGTGAATACACAACAACGGAGAATAATAGAAATAATAATTAAAAAAAGATCAATATTAAAAATCAATAGGAGTATTCCTGTCTAGAAAAATAATTTTCCTAAAGTGTTAACATAATGTTCATTAATATAAATTGCCATATTATGCAATCAGTTGACTTGTAGGGACTTATTCAAATTAATGATAGTTTTCATTAATATAAGCGAATAAATATTTGGAAATCATAACCATAGAATAGCTGCTACATCCTTGTTTACGATTGCCTAGCAGCATATATCCATGACCCTATGTGAAATCGAACCTAAGATTCTCAAGTTTCATGATTACTACAACACCTTCAAGTTAATAACTGTGATGAAACAACCTGTTTATGATTACTGGTTTTGAATGACTACTAAACCTATCAATATTATGCGCTACTGAGAAGCTTTTTATTGATGAGATTTTCAATTGATTTCAAAATTATCAAATACCTATTTGTTATTGAATTAAAATTGAGATTAAATTCGAAGCATCATGACTGCATTGTGAGGCTACCGGTTTAACATTTAGTTATAAGTGATGTTACCTTTTAACTTTAGTCATTGTTTATAAATATCAATGTTCTTAAACAACCATTTATTCCTAAATCCTTATAATATTTAAGGAGCGTTTATTTTTCATAAATAACATACTAAAGTTAGGTTTTATGAATTACTTTTTCCGGGTACGTCATATGCGTTTGATTCATTGGAGATTCACGTTGGTGATGATTTTGATCAGGTTGTGTATATTCTTTGTTATTTTGTGTGCGACCATTAATACTTTTATCATCATTACTTTTGTTACTCTCATAAGTTCCATCACTTCTTTTCACATTATTTGTGTTGACATTATTACTGTTGTTATTGTTATTATTGTTGGAAGTTAATTTCTGTAAAACAGTTTTATAATTCTCTGATAATTGATTATTCTCTTCTTGTAAAGTTTTAATTGTAGCTTCTTTCAGTTGAATTTTCTGTTGTAATTCTTCATATTCATTGAAAAGTTTTTGATTTTGTCTTGATATATTATCAAATGTTGTCTAGAATTTATTTTGGTCATATTTATAAAAAATTGTAAACAAATATTTTGGATAGCATAAATTTATAAAAGAAACAAGTATAATTCAGCAGAATTCACGCAGGCTCCATTTGAAATCGAATACTCACTGACTAAATTATACTGAGGACTCTCGGTCCGAACCCCGTGAGCGGGATCGTGATGCGCAATACTGAGGAGTCCCATAATAGCACGAAACGGCCGCCCAGTGCTTCAGTGGTGGTCTAACATCAATCGGTTCATGATATCAATCAAAAAATTAATAATCTCTACAACCCTATACTGATAACCTCGATAGCAGTTGAGAATGATAATAATGCGATACGAAATAGACATATAATAAGAATACTGATGATTTATAAAATAGGAAGAGATAAGGAGAGCCAATAAAAAGAAGGGATTAGGGCAAGTGATCTTAAAATAAAGTAGAAATAATATCTTTTTGAAGAAGTAATCGTTCTAAGGTTTACGAGGACAAACAAAGTGGATAAATATATAATTTTGTGTGTATACATAAGAATTGTTATTATGACCTTTAATTTGGATATGCGAGACATTTCAGTGGCTTTCGGTAAATTCTTCTGAAACTAATGTATATAATGAAAAAAATTCATTTCATTCCATGTCCGCGTGATTAACGTAAACAATAGTTGGAGACCGAATGACATTGCTCAAAATCATTTGCAATGGCGTAGCTGCATCCATTATTTGTCCTCCTCCAAATTCTGAGCTTCCGGATTCCTCACAACATTTGTTGTGCTGTTAATTTCATGAATTCATATTTTCTTGAACCGTATCTTCGATGCCTAATCTTTATTATTACCACTGATACTGTTACTACCTCTACTATTCTGGGATTCGAACTGACAATTTCATTTCTCTGTGCTGATGGTATATGGCAACCAGGTACTATGTTGTGACTGACTGACTGACTGTAATCATACAAATGAAACTTACTGAAAGGATTATTTGTTTTCATTATAAGAAAGATGTGCACTGTTTACAGACTCGGTAAGTGTTATTCTCATCAATTAGGAAGGACATTTATGGACATTCACTGATTAATCTCTTTAATCACAACTTAACTAGCTTTATAGAATCAACTAAACATACACTGATTATCTTACCATTAATAACTTTGATTAGCTGTATTTTTACTGGTTCATTTGAGGAATTAATGAACCACTTAAATTCTCAGGGGGTATTATATAGAAATCTGGTGGTGTGATAAGTTACCATATCATCTTTTAGATGTAGTATTAATTATGGTATTTTAATATTCACAGTCACAACATTTATCTCCTTGCTACATCCGGAAGCATACTCAGTTAAACTAATTAAAGACTTAATTCGCAGTGACATTTTCTCCACTTCCTTTATTTCTCCTTCTACATTGTCCTAATAACATATGAATCTGATCAGTCAAGTGAAGACGTGAGACAGATTTGTTTTATCATCAAAAGATTTGAAGTCTAGCTTTTGTTCAGTGCTACTTAGTTTATAATGATTTTTTAGGTGTTTTCAACCTGTATTAAAAATTATCCTGAAATTCATACAAAGTTTTCATCAACTACTTAGTCTATTTTTGCTATATCCAAAACAGTCTTCATGACTTTTTAAAAAAATATTTTTGACTACATAAAATACATTTGAGCTCTGTAACACTATTTTAATGAATTATTTTGTATATTATATTTTACAGAGAAGTATTTATTAGCAAATCGAAGCCAGTATGAATAAGTCTATTTGTTTGTCTAGAAGAATGTTGGAAACTGGAGACAAATTCAAAAAGTTGTATATGGCATAGGAGTTCATGTGAAGGATGACTATGTTCCTATTACATAAATCTATAAATAACCATATAAATCTATGTGAGTAATAACACGAGCAAACAGAAATCATTGAAAAAATATAGCCACTTCATTTTTACCCATTTTCCTGATTATTCTGTATTTTTAAATGACATAGTTGTATATCAACAAATAAAGAGATCAATGTTGATTCTTTTGATTATATAGTTAATGCGCACTATTTTATTTCTTGAAGTGATCTCAGTGAAGAAATCATACACGAAACAACAGAAAACAGAATATATATTTGAATTGAATGTTAAAGAAAATGATATTCATACATTTAATAATCGAGTCCTACTGATATGATGACTATGGTTAGCTTTACATGTACAGGCTGTTCTAATTCGTGTTGAAATTGATATGTACTATCAAAGTTGATTTGTACTTAATTGTAACTCTACTAATCGTAAGCAAACTGTTGAATGAACGTCTTCATTTATGAACAGTATATAAAGACTAGTCTTGTAAACAGTATTATATAACCCTATTATTATCGATTTAATTCAGATTGTAATTTTATTAAATAAATCTAGGCTATTTAATCAGTGTTTCTGTTTGTACAGCTAGTTGATCGTGAATCGTAATTCAATGATAATTCTCTGGACTATAATAAAGGATAAATTCGATTTTTACATCATTTATTTGAATCATACATTGAGTCTTAATAGTAAGTGGTGAATAACAGGATTCTATGAAGTAAATTATGATCTATTCTGAGTAGCTGACAAATAAACATAAGTAGTACTTCAGAGAGTTCATAAAAAAGATAATTACTTCATATTTGATAAATGACAAATATTGTAATATATTTTTTTGTAACAAGAATCACTTGCTTAAAATAATCCACAGTATCCAATGATGAAGAATCCCCTAAAAAAATATACAAACTGTTGTCTAGTGCTTTGTACTTTGTTATTTTAGCGTGAATTAATTAATTTATGGTTGAAACACCCATGGATTCATGACAAATGCCACTTACAAATTAGAATAATCACTGAGAAACCTTTTCATCTCAACTATGAATTCAGTAATTTGTCTATTTTCTTTTCACACTTACCTGTAAATCAAATAAATTCGTTTGATGTATCTCCAAAGCTTTTTCAAGTTTTTCATTTTTCTCTTTTTCTTGATTTATGATAAATTGTGTATGACGTTGTATACCGGCAAATTTGATTACAATTATCTATTTAAACAATGAATCAAAGGTAGAGATATATACATGGAAAGTAATTGAATTATTCAGTAGAACTACTTTTAATGATTATTACCTAATCATTTAAAAATTTGTTTTTGTAACAGATTGACATACAAATAAGAATCCTTTTTCATAAATTTTGGAAAAGCCATGAAAAGACGGAGTTGATCTGTTCAACCGAGTTTTTTGCTAACAAAATGCTGTCTACAAAAACTAATAGAAACTAGTAAAAATAAAACCTTCTGGTTTAATTCATATCAACAACTGATTGTCATGACGTATTCACAACATTAACCACATCCCTTACTACTGTTCTACAAATGTCTAACATAATATAATATTTTGTTGCAAAAAAAGTGAACTATTCAAGTATGACATGATTGATATTTAATTCCACCAATGAAAAAAGTGTGAATTTAAGTCAACAAAATTGTCACTGGGATTATGACGTTATTTATACTGTTGGACACTTAGATTCATCAAAATACAATGTTATCACTGATTGGATTACTTATAACGCTTTATGTTTTCTCTTTTATTCAGTTTACGATGGTTGAATCCATAGTCATGTTAACCGAGTTCGTAAACACATCCCTGAATATTCTGTTATTATCCATTCTAACTAAATCGTAAATACACATATAGTTAGCTTAGATTATTTAAAATTTATGTGATAATTGTTAGTAATTAAACATCTAGCTAAGTGGATAACGTGTTGGCGTTTGAGGCGGACGGTACTGGGTTCGAGTCCCAGAGTGAGCATCAGCTCTGAGATGAAGGTACATACAACTCACAAGTCCCAAATAAGACAAAACGCGCGTCCTGAATTCCACTACTAGCCACCATTCATCTTTGCTTATAATGCTTGTGATTTAAGGCAATATCGAGGCAATCTGCACAGGATGCATATATGCCAACAAGAGACAGATCGATTGGAGTCCTAAACAATAATAGGAAGATACAAGCAAACAACACCAAGTGAAAAATGTATAATGCTTGCTGAATCAGTCGAATGTTCGAGATTCCTGCTCACTAAATTTGAATAAACTATATGGCATTTTCTCATATAAGTCACATAATATAACATCAAGAAGTGATACTTTAAATCATGACACTGATATGCCGAAAATGGAACAGTGTTTAAACGTCTTTAACATAAATTCTAAATAAATTATTTAACATTTTCATAAATAAATTTCTACATAAATCATCGGGCAATAAGGAAAAATAGTAAAATGATGATAGAAATAAAAAGTTCACGAAACTGTAAATTGAATAGTGCCCATTTATAAATGAATACAATTCAATTTTACTCTTGTCTGGGTTTTGATATTGGTAGGAGAGTTTTATGAATTACTTTGTTTGGAGAAGGTCAGATACCAAGGGTCATATATTAAGAGGCCATTAAAAACTTTTTCAGGTCTTGTTCAATACTACTTATTGATACATATTTACACATGGGTTAATTCAATTATACCACGTTTCCTAATGTATGCAATCTACTTAGACCTCTTATTCATAATCTTATAGTCAATATTTCCAACTTTGAGCTATTTGAAAGATGTTATTAACTAAGAGAATCATTGATTTTCGTCTTAGATTTATTGTAACTATTCTTCTTTTCTTAAGATACTGATTGTGAATTTCAAATCATGATGACTGTTTGCTCACTGTAATCAAATTAGCTGTGGAAGACAATATATGAGGTAGGAAATCGGGGGTTAAGAAGCATTCCTCCATTGTATTGGAAAACTGAATGTTTATGCTTCTTTTTCTAACTTACTTACATATCTTTCGTAAGTCATTAACTGTAAACACAATAAATTAGTCTATAAACGATCAACAATGAGAAGGTATTATCCATTCTGTAAACGGCTTAACGTTTTCATCAAGATCCTTACTATAATAAACTGGTCATGATAGATGCTATACGTGTGGTAGAACAACTTATGACTGGAAACAAGTGTGAGATAAAATGTTATTAATCTTTTTCAACCTAGTAATTACAAATATGAAGAAATCTCTTGTTTCATATATTTTAATAGTATTAGTATGAACTGTGAATTAAAACGTAAAAGAACAAATTGGCTAATTAATTTTATGATCATCCAATGAAATGATTTGACTGTTTTGTGATAAGCAATTTGTTTAGCAATAAAAATAATTTAATAGTAACAACATCAATAAAATGCTTTCAATTGATCTTCGAAAAATAAATAGAAAAGAGAAAAACTTTAAAAAAAGGGAAAGATGATGGAAGTATATATATTGTGATATTGATTATTACCATAACAACTGGAATGGTTAATTTGTCTCGATTTATCTAAAAATGGCAAATTTTTGTAGACCAAATCTGTTTCCTTTTTTTTCTTACGTTTACTGATATGCTACTCTATCTCGTTAATGATTACCAATATGTGAAAATATCAGTAAGACACACAAATGTCAATCATTTAGTTGAAAATTACTTTTAAAAGAAAATCATAAACTTTTAGGGTTAATACCTATGATCACATACAGTATTAAAAGAAATAAACTTCTGAAGTGATATAATGTGATTAGAAAACGTTAAACAGTTTTTAGTCCCAAAAGTATTTGACGAAAGTAATAAAATATACCTAGGTGACATTTTGAGGTAGTGTTTTCAAAGAATAATATTCTGAATGGGTATGAATGCAGTGGTAAAGTGATCTTGTTAATCGACTCTTAACAAATAAGTTTCCTTACCAGAAGCACTTCAAGAATTTGTATCTGGGTAGCTACGTTGCAAAGCTTTAGCAGTACGACTTATACTAGTGTACAACAAATTGTATGAGGATGAGTGGTGTATTATGGTTACATTATACGAATTTCATATTGTGAACTTATATATTTTGGGAATTCGTCTTTTTGAGAAATTTTTTTCTACTTCCACTTTAAAGGTTTCTTTTCATGTAACTTCTCAACGAATTGAGCTTCTATATGACTGATTATTCATTATCGACTACCTTTTTATTATCATAGTGGTTTTGTAGAAATTGTTAAATTTTCTTAGCTTGAATCACGGACTGAACCCAAACAACCATGTTTTCACATATAATCTTGTCTTGATCGCTCAGGTTCTGAATTTTGTTCTTTATCGTTGTCGATTCCTGTTAGGAATTGATCCCGAGATATCATTATTGCATCAAGAATTATCATATAAGAGTCCTGCTGAATTTCAGATGAATATATGTAAAATACATTGGGAACATTGATCACCCAAGAAACATCACTGCAGTTATGATAACGACTTCATCTTTGACTTTAATAGTGTGATAAAACGTTTTGTTAAGTCTTAACAGTAGTATGCTTTACTTCCAGAAATAGTCAATAAACAGTAGATTAAAACGTATTCAGTTAAATGGGAGCTTTTTGTTACATAGTAAGACTTAATAAGATTGTACACATGTACTTGATTTTTATGACTTGAAATCACTATTTAACATAGATTATACTGAATTTAAAGATTAAATAGTAATCTTACAAAGTTTGCTTAACTCATATTTAACCACCACTTGAAAAATATTCATAAGAATTTCATCTTATCTGTTATGTTAAACTGATATCTAGTTAAGCATAAAATGAAATTATGTAATGAGTATGCTTACTCAACAAGATTCCATCACTTACTTGTAGTAATTGACTATAGTCTTTAAGAATTTGAATTGAATCTTTCAGACGCTTGAGTAAGGATAAAGAAAATAGGATATGATTAATTATATACTTATTACTGGAAAGACAGACATATCATTTTTAAAAAAAAAATATATATATATATACTTGTAGCTTGTTGTAAGGGATGAGTTAAAGAAAAACTATGTAACTTTTACCAAGCTTAAGTCAATGAGGATAAACTCCAAGCACCTCAAGACATCCGCTAATATCAAAACTTGACTTAAATGGATATTAAGTCCGTTTATTTACCTGATAGACCAAAGAGGACAAGTTAAGTCAAACATCATACCATTCAGGTCATTTTGGTTTTCTGTAATTACTCATAAAATGTATTATTGTCCAACTAATCAATTTTCCAGTACATTTCGCCTTAGCCAAACGACCAGTTACATTGAAAAGCATTAGATCGGTATGTCGAAATAGCTCAATCTGATATTTGATTATATCATTTGTGCCATAGAATGAACAAAGATAATGAAAGAAAACCTGATTCTCAATATAATTCAGGCTAGAGATTTCCTAGTTTAGAGTTCTCTTTCTCCTTCGTTCTATTCATAACTCATTTTTGCATAAACTATTCTGAGAGCCTGGTCTTTCTCACATAGCTTTATTTAAAAATTAGATTACAAACTAAGCATATTTTATGAAAAAATATGTCCAAATAATTACTTTTACAATCAGATCAGTTAGATATTTCGAATGACATTATGTGTGTTTGTTCAGAAAAAGTAAGTCAAACCACAGAATTAGTGACAACAAGTTTAGAAATTTTCAACTAAAGAACTGATGACAATGTGATCGCGGAATAAATGTAGAAATTAGTTATATGACCCTTCAGTAACACACACTCATGAGCGCATTACGAATAAGGTCTTAAAGTTTTGAAATGGGACTGATTCTATCGCTTAACTAATTGTATGTATTAACTCGCCTCTGAAAATTATTCTAGATGACTTTCAAAAAGCGAATGAAAAACAAAAAAATAGTTTAATACCGAAACATCTAATTAATTTTGATCACACTGCCCCACTAGATATATCCTCCACTGCCAAACGGTTTAGTTCGATGGAAGCACAAATCACTAAATCAGGTACTGTAGAGACGTCAGCAATTCATCTCTCCAAACTTGAACTCTGTGTACAAAAGTGACTCGTTGAAGCCATCATTCTACCATAGTCCTAATACCTAACTTTTCATATACAGTAAATTGATTGTTTGTTTTTACGAACGTTTTTAATTTGAAATTATTTCTTATTATTGCCTCCATGTTTTTGATTTATTCCTCACTTCTAAAGTGGACAGTTATCTTTCATACATTCGGTTTCATTGTGACACTTTTCTTTAAATTATAACTTGTTACCTAACTCTCTTTAGGTACTTGGAATCATGCAGTCTTTTTCATCTTTTTAAAAAGACTATTTGTTTACTAATTATAAATACGATTATAATGGCTGACTAAATAATATCGCTGGAGAGAAAATCTTTTTCTTTGAACTGTCTGTAATTATTCAGTGACTAGATGCCCAGAAATTGAAAATTCTTTGCTCACCTGAAAATGATCCTTACTTTCTGTTTGACTTTTAACTTGGTCTACTGTTTTCTTTATTTTCTCATTAAAAGCAAAGATATGATTAAAATGTTCCTGTAAAAAAACATAACATTTTTTGGAAACCACAGAAAGTTTTAGAGTAATATTTAAAAAGTGATTTTTATGTATAGCTTATAGGATTGGTTTTAACTGTAGAATACTATCATCTTAAGAAATCCTAATAATTACAGATTATCAGTCAGTTAGTTCTTCCATTCTTATTTCAGACTCTTCAGTATTGTATATATCCCCTATATTCATGATATCGTACAGACCTAAACCAAAACATTTCAAGTCATCCAAAGAGTAAGACAACTTTAAATCATTGAGTTGGAATACATTGGATAGAGAAATTCGTCGTGAAAACAAATCGTTAGTGTGGTTTGAATTATCTTCAGTTCAGCAATTTTGTCTCCTCAATAAAATTGCTGAAAGCTTAGGTTTTATTATGGGACAACTATTACCGGAGATAACTGTTGAAAAATAAAGGATAAAAGTCTTCTATAAATATTTTAAACAGGGAGTTTTTGGAAATAGTTAAGGTTATATTCTGTGTCACCTACTGACCTTGACTAGATAGGTGTCACCAATCAAAAGACATGATGATAGTAAAGTATTGCGAATTGACCACACCTCAAATTATAAACCATTAAGAACTAACTTAGTTCTCTGATGGTTATATGCTCAACGTAAGTTCTAAATGTCCTGGATACTGTCTTCGGCAAGGCTGTGGGCAAGAGGACGAAATAACTGTCCAGCGCTCGCTAATTTCTAATGTTCATTTAGACAAATTCAGTTTATAATAAAAAAAGAGAATATTGAGATGATGAGTCAAACATATCGGAACAATACATTGTGAAAAAATGAATTATTTCTGATATATTTAGTTAACTATTAAATTTACTTACTCCGCTCATTTCACATTGTTTAATTTCGGCTTCCATCTATGAATAAAGAGTTAATTAAAATGCTGTCTAGTTACTCATTGAATGCTATATATATATATATATATATATATATATACTCAATTGAAAGGGAGTATTAGTTGCTCGTGAGGATGCCTTTGTTATTTTCACCTACGCTGAAATATATGGCTATCATTGTCGTCCTGGATGAAATCATCAACACCTACTCAAAGTGAAACCAGAGAACACAACATTACTAATTTATCTATCTATATGTTATTAATGACGGTCTGTAGAATCTCAGTGCTGATATTTGGGAATGAATTTCGACCAACTGTTTCTGTGATATGTGTATCTTGAACGAATCAATACGATATGGCCATTTTGTCCCGAATATCAAGTACGAGAAATCACAAACTCTTACTAATGATAGAAATATTATACTCGTTGAAGTTAGCAACCATCTGTATTGAGTACTGCATCGAACAACGGACTAGCATGTGAAGCAAAAGAAACTGGGTTCTTATTTCAGTGTCAACATAACCATTAGGATGCAGATACATCTTCTTACTGAGTTCCGAAAAGCAAGAAACAGGCGTCATGGATTCCACTGCTAAATACGGTTCATACGTATACATCATCTTCCAGATGCTTCGTATATAAACCCCACTGTCAAATAGTTTTAAACTAATGTAATCACTTAAATTCTTGATCATTCACTAGATGAATATTTCTTTGATAACTATTCTGAAGGGAGCTATTTAGTAATTATAATGATTTTTTGCTCTTGAGTCCTACATTGTTAAATAATAACTTATTTAAATGACACATTGTGTGTTTAATGATTATCTTTAGTAACATAATTGCAGATTATTCACATTATGATACTATTTACTTAAATAAAGATTAAAAATTCGTTCTAGGATGATAGAGAATTTCACAGCTCAAGAAGAGAATTTGGACGATATTACACTCTCAAAGTTGGCTGTTATAAATTTTGGAGCTTTCTATTATTTTTGTAAAAAAACATCACTTTTCTTTACAACCTATTTATAATGTTATCTTGAAAGGTAATCAATAAATTCATGAATAAATAACTTAATTCGGAGAACATAACATTATCATGTCTTGGAGACAAAAGATAAATAGTAAAAGGAATTCATTCTAAAAAAGAAATGAATTTAAAAATACAAACACTTTTGAATTTAGTTTTTAATGATACTTTTATAACATTTTACTCGAATATTATTTGCTGAAATTCATAGTACAAAGAGAAACAAACAAAAGATAAATAATTTCAACAGTTTAGATCATGAGTCAATTGAAGCTAGACCATCATGAAAAACCTGGAAGCACTGGACATCCGTTTCGTCCTATTGTAGGACTCCTCAGCTATTATTAAATCATTTATTCTTTTTTACCATTCTTTATTACTTTCTTCAATGGAATTTATTTTAAATAATCCATATAAAAATAGACATGCCTAAAAAATGATGACAATATTTTGCATTTCTACAAACTCACTTTTTAACATCAAACTACTATTATACTAGTTAGCAGTATCAACTGAACAACCCATGACATTTAACGTTTCATTGTCAGTTTACTAATTAGTAAGAATTAATGTTTTAGAGTAGGCAAAAATGAAATACTGCAGTTTTCGTTTTAAATTTTAAAATGAAGTTGCACAATAGTGATAAGTAATTCGATATCTACACTATGACAATCTACTAGTAGTATATTAACTTCACTCATAATTTTTGTTGGGGAGATCCAGAAAATTCCTCGACAAAAGCTCAGAGAGACCATGAAAACTCTGGGAAGCATCTTATTCAATCAGCATCCAGTAGGCGTATTTTTGAAACATCTGGGAAGTGAAAACTCATGTGTCAGATTTCTGATTGGATGAATACCTATCTTGCTACTATGTTTAGAAGGGTTCCAGAATTTTCCAGAAACCCAAGACCATATGAAGTGCAGTAAATACCCTAAATTTTTTGTACATGAACTAAACTTGGAGTAAAGCGTTCTTCCTATATATCGAGCTTTTTCTCTCGTGTTCAAGATGGCATGTAGATTTAGTCTGAGGGTTATTAGAAGAGCTTAGAAAACCGAATCAAGCGTTCATTTAGAAGATTTATCGTAAAAGATGTACAGATTTAACATTTTTTTCAGAAGGTCAACAAAAGCTCAAGATTATTTTTGCTTATTGTTTTGTTTCCTAAAATGTATAATTCAGTTGAAATCTACTTAAATGAGGTCGTCATGTTATAGTACAAAGCTTTTATTATTGAAGTTCTGTTGTTCAAATCATAAAGTTAAGTTATTCAACGTGACTGAATAGCGTAATAAGTATTGAATGATTTCAGGCAGTCAAATATATACTTTTATTTTATGTTTTGTAATATATATAAAGGAAGCTTGTTTGGATATTCATAAGAATTTATGAACCCACAAGACATTTAACTGTCCTATCAGCGTTCTATAGACGATCTGTTACACCAGTTAGTTATTCCCAACTTCAAACAAGCTCATCTCACATGTGAAATAGAATTATTTTATTATAACCACAAACCAAGAGCAATATCTGTGAATCGTTTCCTTCACAACTTAATGTATGATATAGTGGACTAAATAGCTAATCACTTACATAATATTCTTATTTTTATCATACTTTAGTCATTAGAAAAAAAACAGACAGTTCCATTTTATGAAAAGTTATGTGACCATATGGCAAGGTAATATGGCCCATTTTAAATCTTCCTTGATGTTAACACGAATATTCCTCATTTTTGAATTAAAATTTATGTTTTTAATTTCTGGAACAAAACGAATGGATCCAAATTATATATATCCTACTGATAGGTCCTACACACTGCACTTTATTTTCAGTGATACCATAGAACAGTAAACATACAAACAAATTTAACTAACTTCATGACTTCATACTCGTAGGTAGAATTGAGGATTCCTGACCCGAATATTTATGGTGTTGTGGATTTACAATGGTGATAGTTCCATATATATATATATATATATATATATATATATATATATATGAACACGATTATAACCTTAACAAAGATCGAATTTATATTAAATGATTCTTCTTTTTGTCAAATAATTTTAAATCCTAGATTTTTTTCAAAACTGTTACATATTTCCCAACTATATTTTGTGTATGATTATCTTCAAAAGCATGTGAATTTCTTTCAGACAACTGTGGTGTAATGCGAAGCAACGTTTTTAGATGGGAATATTCGATAATAAATGTTCATATGTATTTTATTGATTAGATATTCTGTTATTGTTTATTAGTTCCGAAATAAAAAATTTTTTCACAAGTGAATAATTTTCAAGAGTGAAATTATATTAATAAATGTATGGGTAACAAGTCATTAATTTTCATTGATTCATTTATTTTTTATTGTATAACTTCCATAGTTGAATTCACGAGTCAATCTAAGCTAGATCATTACTGGAAACCTGGAAGCAATGAACGACTGTTTCGTCATGGCATGGGACTCCTCACCTGTGCGTATCCACAATCCCGCATACGGGACTTGAACCCAGGACATTCGATCTCATGCACGAACGCTTAACCTCTAGACGATTTAACCGGCATCCAATGGTAGTCTAGCTTATATTGACTCGTACATTCAATTGTGAAAATACTACAATCTCCACAAGTCTTCATACTTTATTGTATAATTTGAAACGACTTGATTTCTTAGAGTGGCTTGACAAGTTCTAGGCCATTTTCAAGTGATGAGGATTTTAATTTCACATGATAAGATAGTAAGTTTAGATCTGATACAAAATCCCTAGGTTTTTAACTTACACAACAATTAGTGTTAATTTTCTTAGTAGTGATACTATACTATATTTCGATTAATCTATATATTAAAGTAAGCCTAAACAATGCCTTGCTAGGCTGCTTAAATTTCTTCACTATCTCTGTTTGATGTGAGTTCCATGATGAGTAAAACAGTCAGTGGACTAAACTATCTTACTTTCTACGATTAATCTGTTTTTTTTTCTCACCAATCCAGAAATAAAACTTGGGATTTAGAGGGAGGAAAGTGAACTCTATGCCTGACGTTATGGCACGTGAACGAAAGTATAAATACTGTATGAAATATTAGGTAGAACGTATATCCTGTACGATGTAAACTTTATTGTCTGGGATATTCAGTTGCTTGTACGTCACTCTAACATAGATCGCTCTATAATTTAAAAGTTTGCTTAAATTTAAGTTGTTTGTTCCATTTGTTAATTGACTCGCATTTATTCACCTAAACGGCCTTGTATGAGATTCCTTTTACATGTTCCAACAAATTATGGACTACAGTACAAGATCATACTTTACTAGTATTATAGGATCCTTATTTATACTGCCGTATTTAATGTCGCCTTTTTAAATAAATTGTTTGATTTTCGAATTGAATTGAAATTAAATCTCAGTTGTCTTCATTAAAGTTCTGAGGCTGTTGTATAATACTTTAACCTGGTCCTGATATTTCTGAATTATTATTATTCAAACACATAAACTGGTACAAGGGGGCGCCAAATACATGTGCGCCAAACAAAGCATTCGATTTGTGTAAGCACTGTGATACTGTACGAGTACCCAAACCGAAGCAGATGGTTTCCTCAGGGAGCCAAACTCTGAGCATTTTACCTACAGGTTTAATACATAAGGCAGTGGAGAAACGTTAGGAGATTCAGTCGCATGATAGCCGATGACCAACAGTAGGTTCATACATTATTTGTTTCCTCAGGATCCTGGAGCCCATGTCCACCACTGGTTTGGAATCAGGGTTTTCAAAATCCTCTGAGTAGATCCTCCGTGCCAACCAACCCTGTTAAAACGCCAGAAATTTCACTTTCCATCCTCCTAATTTCATAAACAACATCCACTCCATGAGAAGGCAGTAAATTGAACTTCCCTGACAGTGGTTGTATACACGTGTTCATGTGAGACAGTTTCGAGAGCGAAGGCTGACTTTCCCCACCCTCAACAGTACCAAGGAGTTTGGGGGTAAATCATGGTTAACTTAGTGCATGTATTGAAGTTTTTTAATCAACTCAAATTAATAATGTGGATTAAGTGATAGCTTAAGTTGTTATCTAACAAGTAATTTCTATTGTTGGACCTAACTTTCCATCTCTGCTTATAATCTTTCCTTGTAATTATCAAAACATGAGTTGTTAAACACTACATAAAATACATATTGAACGGAAATAGTAAAGGTAGAAAAATCCTGAATAACTTACAATATCACTTAGATTTGTAATGAAGTTCAAGAATTTATCTTCCGTCTGCATAAGGAATTCAACATCTTTATTTTTTATTTCAATTTCATTTGATGATTGAATTGTTTTATCAAGTTTCTAAAAGATAGTAGACAAAAAGACATAAAGAAACATGTGTAATTACCTCTAATTATGTATTTCTAGTAAATTTACAGTGAATACCGATGTTATACCACAGTTATACCAATGTTACTGAAAATAAATAAATATTAAATGATTATTTATTCAAACCCTTATGACTTTGTTTTTATAAGCTTATGATTTAAAGAAGTTATTTTGATCAACTTACAATGATCAAGTCTATTATTCTAATATAAATTATCAAAACTATATAACATGATTATGTAACTTAATAGGAGTAACAACAACATTTCATTGATTCTTTCTTTTCGATTACCGTAACAGGAACAAATGAATTTTCATAAATAGAAAAGAAATATGAATTTACGATTGTGGGTAAAATAAGTTTTTGCATCGTTTGTAAACGTTGAAATGACAAGCATGTAATTTAGACTAAATACAGTTATGAAATAAATAGTCGGATTAAATGAAGATAATGAAAGAGATAATTAACTAATTATCAATTATATCATATTAGCCATCAAAGAGAATTATCTAAGTGGTTATAAAGGATAGGGTTCATGTTAAGTAAGTGTAGAAAGAAAAATAAGTAAATTAGTAGATTGAAATTATAGAAATATAGAATGAAGTGAAATATATATTCAGTGATTTGGAATACCCTGTAATAATGAATAAGGTCTAAAGCTAGTCATAATAAGAAAAGAGGTTAATCTAATGTTGGTTTTATCAAAATGTCTCTCATTATAATCAAGGTTCTAATCCATAAATGTTCAAGCTAGTAAAACTAGAACCTTCAATTAACTTAAAGTAATATACTAATAAGTTAGTAGTCATTATAGAGGTTACAGTAATAAATGAATAGGATTTCTAGTTTTAAGTAGAGAAACATTTAAAATATTGATTAGTATTAGATTTACTTGTTGAACCTGTTTAATTTCAGCTTCTTTTTGACCAAGTAAAATTTCCATTTTTTGACGTATTTCATTTAATTGTTGATGAAAATAACGTAAAATCATTTCACGTTCTTCTGTAAGATTTGTGTCAAACTTTTCAATTTCTTTACTGTATGCATTTTTGAGTGCTCTGAATAAGTGAATAAAGAAAAAATATCGACTTTCATGGGATAATGATTTCTTTTTTTAGTATCATTGAATAAAAGTGAATTTCGAGTTTATACTTTATCTGTAAAGTAGTTGTCATTAAGGGAGAACTCAGCGATGTTGTAACTTCATGTTCAATCTTAATATAGATTGTTTGAGTCTGGTTGTACGTGCTTCGACCGATAAAATAGTAGGGTAAACGTTAATAATAATACACTTTAATGCTATAAATGATTGTTGAAATTCTTTAAAAGTGATAACGACAGAAACATCTTCATTCAGATATCGAAACTTAGCCTAGGTTGGTAGTTCATGTGTAAGTTTAGGGTGAAAAATGTTTTAGTAACTTCATTCTCAAGTTCTGTAAATCAGCAGTGAATCAAATATTTGAAAAAGAATCAATATTAACGATGATCATTGTCGCGTCAACACAAACAAGATACACAACACGGTTGGAATCCATTAGTTACGGTTCCCCATTGGAAATCTAGGAATTCCCGCTAGGAGCTAGACACTAGCAACCACGTAACAACTATCAGTACTGAGTTGTGGAGATTGTTATTAGTTACTGAGATCACGAATTGAAAACCTGGAAGCACCGGATGCTTGTTTCACCTCATTATAGACTTGTCAGAGACGCATATCCGGATGGTTCAAACGAACCAGCAACCAAATCAGATCAAATGTCACTTTAAAATTTATCTCAAGATCAGCAATTATTGACCGCGATGGATACCACTGAAATGCGTTAAGTAAAATTTGTCCAATCCATTGTGATTAGTGTCTTAGGAGAATTTCACTAATGATTAACAATATTCATCAAGCTAAAACAATATGACAAGGATTTGATTTTTTCTAATTGGCAATTTCTATACATTGACAGATGAAATAAGACGTCTATAAACAACTAAACAAAACTAATACTTACAAATAAAAAATACCAATGTTTCCAGATATTTTGTAAATGAGCAAGTAATGAAGAATTATGTAATATACTTTTGACGTATTGTGGTGTGTGCTACTTATATTGACATAAGTAGTATATGATATCAGTCGTAAACAGAAGGTCTGGGAGTAGAGAGACAAGAGGATCGAACAGTAAAGAATGGAAACAGGATGCAATTTGAATGAAAATGCAAGAACAATGAAGTCTGAGTCATTTTGAGACAATCGATGGACATTTTGCAAATTAAGCATTTACTTTATGATTGTTCGACTTTATTAACAAGTCCTGTAATTTTGTGTGAAGTACATTTGATTGTCCCCACTGGTGTTCTTGTTCAGTACAATATAACATTTGTGGTTTCATATAGGTACATCAGATGACCTACAATTTGAGTACTTTGACAGATATTCAGGATTTAGGTTTTCTTAAAATTTAGTTGCAATAACAAGTAAATCCAATTTGACCTATAATCAGTTGAGACTGGTAAACAACAAAAAATTTATCAGGATTCAAATTTGAGTTTTGCAATTATTCTACATGTCGATAAATATTAAACTTCAGTATGTAATTTTTGACGTTATATGTTGTAAGTAAATCATATAAATGATATATCATATTTGGCTCTTATATTATTTTGTTGATAAACTTCAATCAACACTGAAATCTATGAAAAAATATTAGTTGACGTTTAAGACATATCGAAAATCCTTCAATTTCTATGATTAACAAGAATGAATTAACTTAAGGTATAAACCATTTTACGTTTTCAGTCAGTCAGTAACAACGTAGAACTTCGTACTTACGTACATCAGTTCGAGTTGCCATACCATATTAGCACAGAGATGCAGTTGTTGATTCAAATCACATAGTGGTAGATGTAGTAAGAGTATAAGCAGTAATCAGAAACATTAGGGTTTGAAGATGTTATTCAAGGAATATAATCCAGTGAAATGTATTTAGAAAGCGAACAAAAAGGGACATGAAGAATTCAGAAGATTAGAATTTAGGAGAACACAAAGAGTGATTCTACGATTTAGAAAATTAACAGTATGAAATGTAAACATTTTCTTATGTAAAATGATAAAATACAACTAACTCAGTTAAATGTAATTCCAAATTCATTGAACGAATTCCAGCCAGTACACCCGGATCATCATAAGTGTTCATTTCTAATGCTTCATGTAGTGATTGTGTTAGATGATCAAGGTTGATTATTCCATGTTTCGGAAATCCTAAATACTTTTTTGCATAGTTTTCAAGACGAAAAAAGATTAAAAACAAAATTGTTTATGGTACTTTTGGACTACTCGTGACAGAGCATTTTGGATAGGCTCAAATAAGTAAGGTTTAAAAAAAGGAATAAATACAGATGTCCAATCTGATTCGACTTCATTCTAACTATTAGAAATTACTTCTAGGTTTAGTATACCATCTGAACATACTATTTTAAAAACCATACTAAAAATGTGATCCATTGAGATCATAATTAACCTTCTGTGACTGTATCAACTACAGAAAATGCTTTGTAATCCCTCTTACTAAGATATATTTTGTCTAAATCGAAGGTTGATTTATTCATTCTCCTCTACAGTTTCATAGATAAGAACATGATTTCGTAACTACACATGCTGTACATAATTTACTGAGTAAATTTCGATTTTACTCAGTCATTTAATGTTATGAAACTTTTATCAGAACCAATCCTATTCTGGCCCTATCCCTTGGTCATTTTGAATAATCAGACTAAAACCGCCTGTAAATATTAACGGGAGATATCTGTTTTCACTTTAATCGCTGTTTTAGTGTTATTCAAACAGTTTCGCAGCCTGAGATTGATACGCAGTGCTTCAATCCAACTTCGATTGACTGGATAGTTATTCATTTGGTCAGTTATTCGTAGCCCTAATAACCTTGGATGGAGTATAGAATGAACACAGGTATGAGGTCCTTAGAATGAAGAATATCGGAAATTATTGAATTACACTGCTTAAAAATTTTGAAAATTACAAGGTAAATAAGCGAACAATTTTCTTTTTAATTAGATCTTCACCAGGATTTACTTTAATATATAGGGATACTTCTTCACCATTCATTTTTCAAATATACGCTTCACTTTACGATTATCTGAACACTTTGTACTATGTAGTTTTATCATTTTTAATGGATGGTATTTCCATATATATATAATCGTGTGAACGTCTAATACTGTCGGTGATATCTGTCTCACTACCGACATGTTTGAGTCCCACTAGATATCTTAGCTGTGGAGTATCAACTAGTATAAATTCTGGGTTCAAGAGTTCGCAACGATCTCTTCTGATCACCTAAAATTAAGACATAGGTGACTAATTGTTAAGTCATTTAGACTGGTGGTCATATTATTGTTTGATTAGCGTTAATCAATCAGTATCAAAGACTAAGTAAACATGACATTTATTACCACCAAGTCTACTGGCTTTAACCACCTAATGGCAAAACTAACCAGATATTCGAGAATCTATCTCAAAGCTAGTCAGTCGTAAACGTGTTTTTTTGCTTAGTTAGTATATGAACATAGCCTGTTCTACCGTTCACCATTATTTACATGTAACTAGTTCTCGTCCAATTTATTAATGGTATTTCCGACCATTGACTGTCAGTTAAATGTCTCAATCACGGACAAATCTTATCTAGTTTACATTCATCTTACTGGAAACGAACTGTGAGTTAGTTTGAAAAATCCATACAAGTTCTAATATAATACAGATGGTATATCAGGTTAATTCTTTCCTTGTTTTGATGTAAACTCGTATATTTACATACTGTACGAAACAAGAATTATATGATTTTCATATTTTATGTCCGGTCCATGTAATGATTATTGAACTAATGTTTCAAGTGAAAATCCGTTAGATACTAGTTATGATACTTCTAATTAATCACTTGGAACCAATAATGCTTCGAATGTAAAATACTTGAAGTAGCACTTACTTTGAGTAGATTTTCAACATCTGGAACTCCAAGCTTGTTCCAACAATTTTCAATATCTTCAGCATTTGCAAAACTGTATTACATTTTCGAAAGAAAATTTGGTAAGATTTTTTTATGTAGTAAGGCAGTTGGATATTGAAAATAACCGGTAAAATTATATGAAATCTACCAATAATTTATACAACACAGTCGAATCTCTTTAAAATCTCTGAATTTGAGTTCTAACACTTCTTAGTTTGTATGTTTGGGGATTCATGAACATAGGTGACATTGTCAGAGAAAATAAAAATGCACAGTGTAATCATCTTTTATATCTCCTATGGCGATCTCAACTAATTCGATGAAATTCATAGAATGAAGTTGACTGAAATGAAAATTAATTCACAAGAATGGATTTAGAATGATAGAATCATTATTTAACTGGTTAACTAGGAGTATATATATTCGAAAAATGAAATAATTATTTGAATACAAGATCTTTAACCAGAATATTATGTCTTTTAGATAACAAATCAACTAAACAATGAATAATAGAAGATAAAGATCAGTCAGTCAGTCAGCTACAAGGTAGGACCAGGCCCATGTGTGGTCACAAAGAAATCATTAATTATTAATTCCTGCTTTTTTCAACAAAAATTCTTTCAGTTTGTTTTTTGTTTTGTTTATTAGATTCTATGACTGTTTGGCTTTCAGTTCAGGTTATAATAAATTTGTTCTACTCAAACTGCTTATACAAAGTCCTTATTTAATTGATAATTTGACCATTCTCATATAATTCCTGATAGTTCGTATCTATAAAAATTCATATCACAAGTCATATGAGGAAAAAAAGTATAACTAACAGAAATACAAGTGAGGGAAGATTTCTAAACATTTAACTTACCCGGAACGCTTTAAATCTATTGCTGAGAAAAATACTGGTCTGCAAGGATCTAAATTTTTTAGATCAATTCTTTGATTTTCATTGTATTTCTCACATTCTTTTTGTCCCGTATTAATTGAACGATTAACTCCTTTATCTGAGGTTAGACTCAAATCTGGTGGATTATTATGTTTACTTGTAATCTGTCGTAGAAAAATTAGATAACCAAGTTAGTTGGATCATTTAATATTGCTAGCAATACAATCATTATGTTTTTCAAACTGACTGAAGTTGAACAATGTTAAGTATTAATTTATGAGTGTGAATACGACTGGTGAAGGGGTCATTGTGAGATCTGAATCTTTTGAAATCATTCTCATGTATAGAAGAGAATGCATACTACTTCAGATATCCAAACAAGGACCAAATAAGCATATGTTGGTTTTTAGTCTAAAACGTTTCTTTGACATCATGATGATAAATGCCTAAAGAAGAACCACAATTTTAAAGGGACCGATTTAATGGTTCAACAAAAGAACACTAATCTCTTTAGGATAAAGTTACAAACTAGTGTTATAATAAGCCTGGAACACTTGACAGAAAATTTAGTTAGTTAATTTGGTTTATTAGTTGATAATTTTCTCGAAAATTCGAATGAAAACAAAAGGCTGTATAATGTGGGCATAATTCGCTAACTCCGAGAAGGCACTCATCCTTAAGTAAGTGAAACCTAAATACTAATTAAACATCAGGTTATAAAGTATTTACCTACTACTCAATAGAAAATCAAAGAATTACGGTTAAAACATAAAGACCTTCCATTGTCATTTATCTAGTTCAATTTTTCGACGAAGACTATGATCATCTAAATACTAGTGACAAAATCAAATGGTCTCTGAGTAGCTGTACTGAATATCTAGTTTAAGTTTTTGAATTTGATTTAAAAGAATGATTTGGGAAATGTACCGTTTGTGATTATCAAATGTGATGAATCTTAAGAAACCCTGATTACTATTCATAACCTTTATGTAATATTTTGATAGAAGTGCAATACATGTTCAAGGATAGAAGTAACGTACCAAATTCCTTAGTCGTATGATGACAATGAGATTCGAAATCTAGGTAATTGTAATGGATTTTCCCCTGTTGTTCCATTCTGATTGAGCGTTATTCAACTTGATGGTTTTCAGGTGTGAGAGAAGATACCCCTCACTATATGTCAATGCAATAGAAATTCTTATCTTGTATATTGAGTAAAGAATTATCTCTATTCAGTCATGCGTCAGCAGATGAAAGTCTAAAAACAGTTAAGGCTTACAATTGGTTGATCACTGGGTGGTGATCAATGTCACGTATGTCTGATTCTTCTTGGTGCAGATCGAATCCTATCGACCAAGTTGCAATGTGGCCACCAGTCTAAGTGACTCGACATTGCGTGCACTATGTGGAGATAAGATGGTGGTTGGAGACAGTCAACAGGAATCCCTGGACTTAGATTGGTGACCATATTGCAACTTGGTTGATAGGATTCAATCTGCACTAAGAACGACCTGGCATACATGACATTGATCAGCACCTAGTGATCAATAAATTGTAAGTATATCTCAGTCCTGCAGGAGGTTTGTCGCCACTCGGATAACTGAGTGGTAACGTCTCTGACTGTGAAACTGGGTAACGTGGGATCGGGTTCGTCAGGGAGCATTGGTTACCGCAAGATTACAGATACACCTTACCGACGAGTGTCAATTAGCACGAAAACTAGGTCCAGGTTTTCCTGTTGACTACCTCCAACCACCATCTTACATTTAAGGCTTTACTATTGGTTAATAAATGGTGATAAATGCCGAGAATTTGCTGATTTTGCGCTGTGTTCATTAGATGCCCTGAAATACTGAACTTGCAGTGAATTCAATTACACTTTTCCTAACCTTGCTGGAAAGTGCTTCCAAAGGTGACGATGAGCTTATAGAAAAAAACCAATATACGTTTTATGATAGTAACAGTAACTGTAAAGTCATACCGGTTAACGCTAAGAGCAGATACATTCTTAAGGCAATAGAGATAAAATAAAGCCGTAAACAGTCTTAACTATTTGACCTAAAGTATCAACTGATGATTGATAAGCTTGGAACTGAGTAAAAGAAGTTATTACCAAGAATCTACCAAGCACTATTGATTTTTCTCTAGCATGTAGAAACTATCCATTTCATCTATATGAATATAATTTATTCCATTCATGTTGACATTCTAGATGATATTTTTGAAATTTTAGTTTAAAGGAGAGATCAGATCTTTGATATTATCTCCCTGAACAGTTGGAAACTGTACAACACGACAGATATCTATGGTTTCCATAAAATGTTCATTTTTGCATGATATTACATAAGAGTAAAGAGCTAATCTTTTTTAAATCAAATGAAATTATTGACGAACTTAATAAAACGAGTACTTTTACAAATGATGACCCATTTCTTGATATTTTTTAGAGTAGAATAAATGCGAAACTCAATGTCCCAGTGATTTGTTTACTTTGCCAATGACAATGTTGAAAATTAGTTTGTTGTCACATCAGATTTACAGGTGTACATACTACTGAACATGTATTTAATAATCAATAAACAGAAATCAATTACTTTAGGTTGGTAAGGCTTAAGTTGTTCACCTTCAGATCTTGTAATAACACCCTTGTGTCCTAGTTTCAGATTAGTATCAGGTTGGGGTATATTGGATGGAACCAAATAGTTTGTATTAGATTGACCTGGAATCAATTAATAGAATTACTTAATATTGTGAAAACAGTTATTCATAAAGTATTACTGTACTATAACTACTAATATTTGATGTACAATTATGTTCATGACTTCGATCAAAACCCAACAATCTCCAAAACCCCATAATGATATGCTAATAATGATGGTTTATGAAATGAGTCTACGTTAGCAATCCCAGTAGTTCATATAAATGTGGATGATGAAGATGCAGTTAAAGCTATGGTATCTTGGCTTCTTGTAGTAAGTACTAGTTTTCGTCAATTATAACAGATACTATGAGACTTATCAAGACCACTGCTACTACAACTCTTAAAATGATTCTCGATGTCAGTTTTCATCTAGTTGCAAGCAGTTTATCGGTGACCCACAGTCATGTTTAATTATTGAATTAATTTCTGAGTTGAGCTCGAGAACTTGAAGATAACGTCGAATTATCAGAGTACTGGTAAGTTCTCATTCAAGAAGCTATGATAAGTGATATTATTCTACTTACTAATTATAAGTAGGATGACAAATAATTGAAAAAAATATTCGGGTATTACATCAGTTATATGCATTATTTTTTGTGTGATTTGACAGACATTTTCATTCTAGTTTTCTGTTTACTGATAAAAACTTACTGACTTCTGGTTTGCTGACTTGGGTTTCATTTTCCGGTTTACCCTTTTCAGTTTTCTTAACTGGGATCTCTGACGCTGATTCAGTTACAATATTATTCGACTTGTTCTGAGACTCGGTGACATTATCATCTTTTGACTTAGTTGTTTGGACATTACCGTTATCCTTATTCAGTACTTCTTGCGTTTTAGTATTTGGTGCAGGTTGTGAACTAGAAGTAATCTCTTTTTTCTGTCCAACATTAATATTTGGTTGGCTTTCGACCTTTTTAGATTGAACTTCATTTGTCTCATTATTTGAGTTTTTATTTTGTTTTTCTTTGAGTTCAGAGGATTTTTTATCAGTTTCCAGATCTTTCACTTCATCCACCGGTTTTGTTTTAGTAGGTGGATTTGTTGGACTTGGAGCTCTGTTTGATTTTATTGTTTGTACAGGTGATGTTAAAAAGTTAATCAGTGTAGATGATGGATTCTTTTCATTAATTTGATTTGTTGGTCCTTGATTTACTCTATCTATTAGACGTACAGAACTCGGTGGCTTATCTTGTGGTGCTTCTACACTGCCGTCTGCTTTATTTGTAAATTTATCGGTTGCATCAGCTGGTGAAGTTTGTTTTTCTGTCTTCTTTTCATCTCCTTTTATAACTTCTCTCGATTTATCACTAGCATTGTTCGTTTTTTCGATTGTATCTTTCGTATTCTTTCCTGTGTTTGATTCCTCTGATTTTTGTGAAGGTGGTAGTGATTTAGTTTCTCTTTTGTTAGTTTGTTGATCCTTATTCACTTCATTAGATTCCAAAGGTTTCAAGTTAACTGGTGACGTTCTGCCCGAAATATCATTCTTGCCACGCGATTTACCAAGTCCCTGAAGAAGAAGCAATTACTAGTGGTTATTAATAGCGAACTGTATTCGACTTAAATGATAAGCAGTAGTTCACATCAATTCTTACTTTCTAATTCTGATAAATATTCACTGATCAGATCCTTAAATTTCGACAACATTTCTGAAATGTAGATCTTCTGATTGATTGTGTAAATTTAACAAAACACTTTTCATATTTCGTTTAATTTACCTTCACAATCTCGTAACAATATGAATATTATTGCCATAGAACGTGACGTTTACTCGAGGGAATAAAAGAATGATGTGTACATGACCCTACTATTTTTTTCTAGCTATACAGTAACTATTAAAATATCTAGTGATATTCTCATGTAGCTAACCGTAGAATTCCTACTTTTCTTTTGTTATTTGTGAATTCTATACATTGATATTATGCTTAAAAGTCATTAAAATATATCCTAATCAGTAGTTCACACATTATTCTTCAATAAGAGTGTAGTTCGATAAATTCTATGGTTTTCATTGCAGAATAAAGTTTGTCCACCAATTAATTAACTCACTTTATTACATTAGATATAAGATTTTTCATTCACACGACTAAAACCATACCAAATTCGAATGATCCTACGTTATTTTTCACAGTTCTTTCTGGTTGAAACAAGTTTCAACAATACGCATACAAATAGCTTGCATTAAACTGCTCATTTTATCTTCAACAGAGTGAATCTCATTTATGGATGACGATGATGATTCAACTTTATCTTTGCCCAAAACAATCTTATTTATTATTTTATTTATTTAAACGCATACACCGGTACAAGGGGCACCAAATACATATACGCCGCACAATAACAATGAAGCCATTAGTAGCTACCAGTGATTTGTGTTAGGCCTATAATACTGACCAGGTGCTCAAACCGAAGCAGTTAGTTTTCTGAGGGGGACACACACCGAGCCTTTGACCTATAGGTCTAATGCATAAGGCATTGGAGCAACGTTGGGAGATGCAGTTCCATGATAGCCGGTGACCAACAATAGGTTCATATGCCTTTTTTTCCTAGGATCCTGAGGCCCATATGCGACGTTCGTTTAGAATCAGGGTTTTTTCAACTCCCTTGAGTAGCCACTGTAACCACCAACCCAGTTAAAGTAACGGACATTCACTTTTCATCTGAATTTCGAAAACAACACTCCCACCGTGAAGACTACGTTGACAGTGGTTGTATACACGTGGCCATGTGAAAGCGTTTCGCGAGGAAGAGCTGGCTCTCCCTACCATTGACCTTACCAGAGCATACTACTCTGCAATCCTAACGTGTAACTCACATGTCTCAATGAAGGTGAAGTAAAACGAAAGTACAGTTTAGTACTAGTTATCTCAATAGTATGAACAATTACTAATTCTATCTATATAAACAATCATTTTTTGTGTTAAAGCTTAAAATTTTGATAACGAATTTGATTGATCATAAGTTATATATTCTACAGATAATACACATGATCCCCATCTCAATAATTGAGCATAAAAATATGTTTAGGAATAGAAACTATTTAATTTTTAATCAAAGTGGTCTGTTCAATTAATAAAGTGAAAATATTACTAGATTAAATTAATTTTTGTAGTTATCAGAGTTGTAAATTAATAAGCAAAACAACATTAATCATTCTGGCTAAAAGAAGTATCCTAAACGGACTCAAAATTACTCCAAATTTCGAAGCCTAATCCAACGTACATACGTACTGAATTCTTTTGTAGTGGCCTAGATTCATTAATCAATCACCTTGATAACCGTTATTATATAAATCCCAACGGTGTTTGAATTCAAAAGGCAATAAGAAGCGGCGACTACAATTTATTAGCGGACAACACAGATCACGAAGTTATAAGCGCATCGAGCGAATTTGAAGCAGTGAGGCGAATATATGTGTGCGAGAGAACACAGAGGCAAATTTCTAGTCAAATAGAATCAAGGTGCAGCTACACAAGGCAAAGGCTAATAATAGGATTCGAGCACATACATACATGGGAAAGAGGTGGCTCATCGATCAATATTCAAGCGACGGCCATTTTAGCTAGAGTGAGATATGTCCGTAGGCTGTCATGTAATCAAGCATACACGTTTATACACATAGGATAGTAATCATAATAGTACAAAGAAATATGTTAATTGTTACTGTTCAAATAAGACTGTCTGTTAAGTTACAAAAAAGGGCTTAAAACATTAATTATAATCTGAATTGATTGTAAAACAGTTGCTATAGTTTTATCTCACTTATTAACAGAAGATGGAATCAGTTAAAATATTCTTGAATGTCTTTTCCCAATTTAGTGTAAAAGAAAGATATGAAGTATCATGTTAGTAATTGTTGAAATGATGAAAACTACCAAAAAAATTTCAAATTTAAAATCATTTTACCCTGTTCAAAATACTACTGTAGTGAACAGAACACGGGTGGGGACAATCAAATGTACTTCACACAAAATTACAGGACTTGTTAATAAAATCGAACAATCATAGAGTAAATGCTTAATTTGCAAAATGTCCATCGATTGTCTCAAAATGACTCAGACTTCATTGTTCTTGCATTTTCATTCAAATTGCATCCTGTTTCCATTCTTTACTGTTCGATCCTCTCGTCTCTCTCCTGCCAGACCTTCTGTTTACGACTGATATCATATACTACTTATGTCAATATAAGTAGCACACACCACACTACTTAAATGATTGTAACTACTTTTTATAAGCATTTAGAATTGAAATAAATCATTGTAATTTAGTAACGAACTATTATCAAATAAAACTGAGCTTGTGGAAAAACACTAATGAAGAGTCGATTATATTAAAAGTACTTATCTTATTAAGATTGAATATCTTAATAAATAACTGTTCTTTAGCTTAAAGTAAACATACTCTTCATAATGAATAAAATGAACAAGCATTTGATTAGTCTTTAAGAAGAATATTATCCAAAAGTTCTTTACATTTTGATAGAGTTTTGTTCTTTGAGCTGGATGGTTTGGTCAGCTCAGAGAACAAAACTCCATCCAAATCATCCATATGAGATACAAATATTCTTTACATTACTTATACACATTATAAATTGTCTTTCACGAATTATTAGGAATAGATAAGAAAATTGTTGTGACTTTATGTCCGGCTTTTTATCACGTGATTTATCCACCAATCAAAATACGACTTATACAATCTTAGCACTGTGCCAAACCAATGACGTTCGACCGGTATGAGCAGTCTAGCGTCCTTATTGGTCCTATATCCGCCTAGCCCGTCCACTTGAGTCCAGAACACCAATACCAGCTCCCACTATGCGAATCGAATCGAATCATTTATCTCAGGCATACTGGGTTTATATATCAAACAAACAGACAGCAAAGCACCATAAAATAGGAAATAACATTTGTATACAATAGAGCCCAAAAGTGGCTGTGAACGTGGGAGACAGTAGTCAATAAACTGAATATAGCTTAAGAACAGTAAATCGTACAATAATAAATTATAGGTTAAAATAAAGTTTATAATAAGAGGAATATAAATATACATAATCTAATTATTGAATAGTTATACCATAAGGATATATAGATAATATTAGTCAATTAATATGTCTCAGAAGTTGCTCGTGATTTAATCTTCACTTGGATATAATAAAAATAAGAAAAGCATTTTAATAAAATACAGTTAAAAGTTTAACTTACTTCGAAAAAGTTTTTCATGTGTATCTATTAACTAAATATTTCATTCGTTTGAAGATATTCCAAAATGTACTATTATTTATAATTCTTTATTGTATAAATATGTATTCCTTTACGGGGATTTATAATCAATCAATTAAACAACAAGAAATTAACCAATTATTTTAAGCATTATAAAGTTCAATCCAAATTTATTGATTATACAAGGGAAAAGATTTGGGTAGGATTATTGAAGATTTCTACTCATTCCATTAATAACATAAATTAATATCGTAAAATCAATGATTTATAGATTGATAAAAGACTACAACATATTCAATAAACGGTGAATGATATACACACATTGCTGATTAGTGTCATTCACAAAAAAAATACATAATAGACTACCGGTTTTCCTGAATGTAATAAGTATTAGACTTGGAGATAAGCTTCATTACAGACTGAAAAAAAGCAAACTAATTTGAAAACAAAGAGAAATGGATAATTGATTCATTTTCATTTGAAATTTCACTACATTGAGCACTCAGCATCTACACTGGATCGAAGACAACAAACTCAGATCTTAAATTGAATATTGTACCATTTTATTATTTCCTGGACAATTAATAGTTCTTATTTCCCAGCATCAGTCAGATTTTGCAGTATATATTTAGGTTGTAGAGGTTAATTTCCTCTATATCTGACTCTAATAAACAGTATCTTATTAACTAGGTGTTTAACGCAGGCTAAATCTCCTAGTAGAATTATGGATTTACTCGAGATTATTCAAAAACCCGAACACTAGTTATAGTTTATTGTTAAGGATTAGTAAAACCCTCAAGCGTACACGAAGCAAGCACACAGGGAAACCAAGTATGTGTTTGTGTGTGTGTTAAAAATCCATATATATTTATGAGTGTTAATCAAGTATGGATAAATTATTGATTGTCTGTGTATTACAACCAATGGGAGAATAGATTAAAGATTGATGTGCAGATACGTGCTCAATCAGACCCACACATTTTACATAATGGATTAGGTGTCTAAATTACAGTGAGCAGACAAATAATACAGTAGTTGAGTGGGCTCACTACAAGGCTTTAGGACAAGTTCAAAGTCAAAAGATACGTCATTGATCAGTTCATTACTCTTAAATTATCCTAATAGCAACATCCAAATGTAATATGGCTATCACGTAACGTACTGTAGATGAGGTCTGAAGCACTACATTCATAACCGTATAAAAGTTAGATAGTCTGTTACTGAAAAATTTTTGCACGTTAACACTTAGATATTTTTAAATTAACCAAACTTTGAAATTCGGAAAATGCAATTCCCCATATGAACCATATACAAATCTCTATAGATATGTTGCTCAAAAACTCGAATATATTAACTATTTTATTCTAGTTTTCAGACCACGTGTATCAAGAGGTATACCACAACAACAGTTATAATAGTCATAAGTAGTCACTTTAAAAATCGCAATAAATTTCTTAGTTTTTATCTTAAACAGATTAACGTTTTGAAGCTGATAATGTCGAACTATTACTAAAGACTAACAAGATATTTTATTTAAACCATTTTGTATGTTGTACAATGAAAAACAAGTTCTCTTTTCGCACCACTAGTTTACAGAAACACAATAATAATACCTATTGAATTAATCAAGTGTTTTATTCATTTAAAAGTGCAATTATCTCGTCTGTCCGACTTCGACTAAATAGATGGTGAATCAAATATCTTGTTTGATTGGATCAAATGATTTATTTTACTTAATCTTGTCTATCTTATCATTACAATTGAATTATACGCTGTAAAGTGTGAGAAGTGAACAGTCATGGTAGAATCCAGTGAGATGATCAGGTAAATTTAGGAATTTTACGACGAATGGTGTGCAATTTTATGTGAAATGTGCTTTGTTGTACTTAGTAGTATAGTGAATTAAATAGTCAGAGCATTATAAATTTTGGATTTCAGCTTATTCCTTGTATTTTCTACTACATCGGATCTTATGCAACCCGAATCATAAGGATGATATATAGTGTAAGTACACTTGTCAAGTGTCGGCTGTCTCTACTCTTTTAATTCCAAATTATTATTGGTTTGGATCATAATATTATCAGAGAAACGTTAATTGCCAGCACTGAGGGTTTTCCATTGCTAGATAGTTATCTATCAAAATACAACTTTGGTTCCTTTTATTAATTTCGTGAAGAAACTTGAGCTATAATGTTGGGTGAAATGGAGTTATTACCGGTAAAACTTCCATCTTAGTGTAATTTTACTTCTGAAAGGCTCAAGTTCAGACTTCACTTTTTCATTTTAAGTGGTCACATGGATAAACAGAGTGGTCTTTAATGTATTACAAGAGCCCAAAAATTATGGATTTTACAGTCCTAATTTCTACTTAATTACTGGATAATTCTCGTTTATTCCAGTATGACATATTCCCCCTCATTCCCAATATCTCTTAAATATAGTCGATTTCGAGAACCAGTTAGGGCCACTGGCTTGCATCTTATTAGTGGTTGCACTACACCTGTACCCATCGTGTAAGTACTTATTTACTTAAAAAATCTCCCATTTATAGAGAAAGTTAAAAAGCTGATCTATTTGCTTCTGGTGTGTTTTATTGATTTCTAAATGCAACTCTAAACTAACATCGGTATGACTAGATTTACTTGTTCAAAGATGTAGATTATATTTGACATATGGCATAATTACTAAAATCTATCGTATTTTTCACATCATATACTTATATGGCAAATCACTACAGGTTAATCAGCATATATTTATTGATTGCACGGACGGCGCTCCAAAAATAGCAGTGAAATCTATTTATTAGAAGGTAGCTTTCAAAATATGGACTTAGTGATAAATGGATAGAACTTGAAGCACAAAACGCTTTTCCGTAGTCAAATCACTCGCAGAATGAAAATTCGTTCGCACATTTTAACTACTATTTTGAGTTAATATTACTATTCACTGGTGCTTAAATCGTTAAGTGAACCATTGATTTTTTCATAAATAGTGCCACTGCTGACAGTCGAATGTGAGGAATTATTGATTGTTTTGTAATCTAAATGCATGGTTATTCATTTATTTATTAATAAGTAACCAGCTCAGTCATACTATTCTGTGAATGACTAATAAGTTTGATTCTTTGAAACATTTTCATACAGTTGATCGGCTAGGTGTTCTGTTTTTTTTTTTAATTTGAGGCTTAAATTCGTGAGAAAATTATTAATTTAACTACATTAGCATTTTATCAAATCAAATTACCATAACAAAAGTTCAAAACATTTGGTTTAATTTTCATTAAAGACTACATCTCCACTTACGCCGAAAGTAGTATTCGTAGATATTTTACACTACTTAAATTTACTTCATTAGGCTTAATTTGATGTAGATGAACACATTTTATTGACATTAAAATATGAATGGAATTATAAACTGTTGACAATAAAACTTTCCACACAGCTAGCTTTGTGAAATTAGTTTATTTAGAACTAAAATCTACATTTTTACCACCTCATGAAATCAATCAGTTTCTTTTAAACAATTTAGTGAATTCATTTAGTCGTAAAAGAAGAGAATGCATAATATTCTATGATCTTCAAAGCCATACGAACGTATTGTGAAAACTACTTACAAAGTTTTGTGTTAGAAATTTATGTCAGCGTAATATATAGATGCCAACAGGAGTTACACCAGTTTTCTAGAAAAGGGAAGTTAATGTTGAAAAATCATAACTTCGTGGTTTTAGGATTAGATGTTCAACTAATAAGTTGCAGGTTCAAAATCCAGTTTATTCACTGGAACAGGAAGAGCATGCTTTGTAAAAATTGTACACATATTAGTAGATGAACAAGAACAGAGACTCATGGTTTGTAGTCATTCAGAACAATCCAGAAACTACTTGAAATTATTAAACTGAAAATGTCGAACTGTATTGAAATCATAAACTGATCAATGTTAGACCACCATTCAGGACATGGGAGAACTGGACAGTTGTTTCGTCCTAGTATGGGACTGCTCATACTAGGACGAAACGACTGTCCAGTTCTCCCATGGCCTGAATGGTGGTCTAACATTGATCGGTATATGGTTTTAAAGAAATTCAACAATCTCCATAACCCCCTACTGAAAATACAGAAGCTTAAAGATAATTTTTTATCGATCGACTGTAAACTAGTTAGCGAGAAGTAGAAATGAAGACAGACGCAAGGGTGTTGTTACTGTTCGTATAACGGAAACCAAACGCAATATTACATAAGAGTTTATTATAATGTAGTCCGATTTGCGTAAACACAACTTGGTTTGCGATTTAGTTTATCTCTCAATTTTCAAACTTATCATCTTGTCTTGGACACAAAATAGAAAAGTTTTTGATAACGGTTTCTGATCTAGGTTGTAACTATGCAACTTGTAACGAAAACGAGAAAAACAAGTTGTCAAATGAGATAGGCTATATTCAAATAAACACAACTACTAGGAGAATGGGGTTTATGAACTTGGTTTTTAGCGATACTTTAGGTGCGGGGGCTAGTGATACTACACGGCTACCGTGACCACAATAAGTGGAGTGCAGTTCAAATCAGCAACATGGTGATTGGAAGCTAACTGCTTTAACGACTAGACGGCTATTTCCAATATTAGTCTATTCAGTTTGATCTGACCAGTCTAATAGCATTGTTAGCCCTAATCAATAAATGTTGTTCATACTACTACTAGAAATTTGCAAGTAGTTACAGAACTGTACTTATATTTTTTATTGACCGTGGAAATGTGACATGATAATATAAACTGTTAAAGGAAAACCAAAAAATATTGAATTCCAAAACTATTTCGGTTACAAAAGCATCTGTATAAAATATGGAAAGACTATACATATACATCACCCATACATTCCGAAGAATTAAAAAAGCATTTCAAACATTAAATCAACCAAAAGATGATAAAATTCCAGACTCTAAAAATTCTTTTGTACTTAATACAGGTTCCACTGTATAACCGGTTAAAAGGTAACCATTTGAACATGACGTATTAATTTCAGGATGCGTTCTCTCTGGTAATACTTGAATATGTCGAAACCAGCTATCGGTTAAACGAAGATGCGTTATTCCACCGCGTCGTTTTAAAACATTGTACAGATCAACAAGGGGCTAGAATGAAGTAAGGGGGAATGATTGAAGTAAAAGTTAATACTGTATTAATGAATCGTGTAAAACATAATTTGAAATCTACTAAACTAAACTAATCAAACAGATAACAGACTCAAACATATGATTCGAGGAAATAGTCTAATAATCTGACTTTAAGTTGCTTTTTAACAACAAAGTCAATAAACGATAGGGAGTTCAAAGAAATTGTTGGTATAAGGGATTGATAGAGATTATTAGATTTTCTCACTTGATATTACACACTTATTAGTTGAGCAACCATCAAAAATCAAGAAGTATTAGACAGCTGTTGTGTGCTAGCATGAGGCACTTTGGTAACGCGTACCCACGATCCTACCGAGGACCAAACCCAGGACCTTTGAGTTTCGCAACAAGTGTTTAACCTTTAGATCATTGAGTTGGTATCCAGTGGTTTACACCTCCTATTTGAGTCAACTGCCGTTATTGAGCGACTATCATTCCATGCTATTAATAGTAACCTGCCTTAGCGATCCAAACCATAAAAGCAATTAGTTGTAAGTATAACTACTTGAATTGAACCATGTATGTTGTTTCTTTGGATCTAACTAATAGAACTTTATGCAGCGAACTGGTGATTTTTAGTGATAGTGCTCATTATTTTTATATTAGCTCTTCATGGAATAACTTGGCTTGTCACCTTGAATTACTCAACATTTTTTCGTGCTATCGATGTTTTATAGCAATTAAAGATTTTGAGAATCAGCCGTAGAATGTACTAGGATAAACGGTTAGAAATTATCAACGGATCAAAATTAAAAGGTTGGGTGTTGTAGAGATGTCTATGGAATTATATACATATATTACATCCAGATGAAAATCCAATTGAAAACATCGTTTGCCTGTTTATGAAATTGTTCAGATAACAATGATCGAACATTTTATGGATCATAAAAGCAGAATTCATAAAATTCGAGATCTGTGATGAGAAGAAAACAATGTACTAGATTGTTATTTTCTAAATGTCTTTTGGAAGTAATTTATTTTAACTTTGGGAATAGTAGATTGTTTTATCCTTAATTCTAGAGAATTGAGAAACTGAAGCATTCTCAGTATAGGATAACGAAAGAAATCATCTCAATGATACAAACAGATACATTATTTACTTGTATATATTGTGTATAAACTACAAATGGCCGCCCGATAGGTAGAAATTGAAGTAAGGTTAAAGTTAAATCGACCGGATGAAATCGAGTAACGATGACAAGTGAATCTGGTGTAGGACGATTATTTCCAAAGATTTGGTTGAATGATGAAATGTAATATTCACTGCTTTTGGATTGTTTTGGTGAGTTTCGGTCTATTGGAAATAAAGAAACGGTTATCCATTTATTAAGAACAAAACTTTGTTGCTGGAAAGTAACGTTTGAACTTAATCATATTTGATATTGGCTAAAAATGGAAGTGAACTGTGTTCTGTTTGAGACTATTACAGTTTAGTTCGGCTGGATTCTAAAAGGTTAAGCAAATTCGAACGCAATAACAACACCTTAATTCATTAAAACAATCGAAACGAACAGTCTCTTGGAGATAAGTATGCAGAAAATCCAAAGAGAATTATCGCCAACATATATTAGTTCAGTCAGTCAGTCAGCTACAACGTAGGACCAGGCACATATATGCATCGGTCCAGGTTGCCATATCGCATTAGCACAGCAAGATGAACACCGGATTCATAGGAGTGGTTAGGTCAAAGGTGGTAATATATAAAAGAAAGATTGCAATAAAGATATAGTACAGAAAGAAAGAATTAGTTAGTAGAAAGAAAGATATGAAGTGATTTTAATCTCTTAGTTTAAAGGAAGACAGAGAGTGTATACACCTACGCCATTGTGATCGCTTCTGAGCCATGTCACCAAGAGTCTCCAACCATCGGTTACGAAAGTCACGCGGACCCCAACCAAGTAGTCTGCATCTACCAACATGGCTAAGACTAGAAATTAGTGACTTCAAGCACTGATGCCACGTTTTGGTTTGGCCGCCCCTAACTTTCTTCCAACCATCCCCTACACCGGTTAGCATTGCACGTCGTGGTAATCGGTGTTCAGGCATACGTAACACGTGACCCAACCATCTCAGTCGATGAAGATTCATAACCTCATTAACTGATTTACCATCAGTCCCTAATACCCTGCGTCTAACCTCACTATTACTTACCCGGTGATCCCAGCAGATGCCAGCAATATTTCTAAGGCATCTGTGGTCAAATACTAATAGCTTACGAGTGTCTTCTACTCTTAAAGGCCATGTTTCGCTGCCGTAAAGTAAGACATAACGGACTGCCGCGCAGTATACTCGTCCTTTTATTGATAGACGGATATCTCGCCTCCGCCAAAGGTGACGTAAGTTGGCAAAAGCCAAACGAGCTTTTCGAATCCATGCTGAGATTTCATCCGATACCAGCCCATTAGGGCTGATCAGACTTCCAAGATAAGTGAAGTTGTCGACGCGTTCGACTACTTCACTCCCTATCCTTAGTTCGGGTGTTGACGCAGACCAGTCCTGAAGCAACAACTTGCATTTAGAGGGAGAGAAGCGCATTCCAAACATTCTGACATTGTTGCTTAGTGCTATCAAAAGACTCTGCATTTTGTCAGCGTCTTCACCAAACAGGACTATGTCATCTGCGTATTCTAAGTCGATAAGTGGACCTCTTGATAAGAGATCAATATCCGAGAATTCAGTAGACGAGAATGTTATTTCCATCAGTAGGTCTATGATGAAGTTAAACAAAAATGGAGAAAGTGAACAGCCTTGACGGACACCACTTGAGGTTGCAAAAGTAGATGACAGTTCGCCATAAGCTCTGACTCGACTAGTAGTGTTCGAGTAAGGAGCCTTTACAAGGTTTATTTACTTCTGAGGTACGCCTTTCAATGACAGACACTGCCACAGAATCTCGCGGTCTACCGAGTCAAACGCTGCTTTTAAGTCGAGAAAGACCACCATTGTCGGACGTCGATAAGTATGCCTGTGTTCTAGAATCTGACGAATGGTGAATATGTGGTCGATGCAGCCACGACCAGGTCTAAAGCCAGCTTGGTTCTCTCGTGTTTGCAGTTCACGAGTCTTAGTTAGGCGTCTGATAATTATCGAGGCTAGTATTTTAGATATTATATTAGTTAAACTAATCCCTCTGTGGTTGTCACAGGATGATTTTGACCCTTTCTTATATATTGGGACAATAAGTGATTGTGACCAGTTAGATGGAATAACGTCTAACTCCCAGATTTTAGCTAAAATATTAGTCAACCTAATCGCTAAAATTGGACCACCATCCTTAAAGACCTCTGGAGCCAATCCATCTGGACCAGCTACCCTTCCTCGTTTCAGATTAACTATAGCCTTTTGAACTTCAGCAAGAGTTAGGGGACCTACTTCAATGTTTCATTCACGGTGTCTTGGAATGGAGGGTAGTTGTAGAGTAGCTGAACTGTTCCCTAAAGTGTTCCGCCCATCGTTCTAAACGTCTGGACTGGGAGCAGATGAGTGTATCGTCTTTTTCCGAAATAATCTCACTTACACTTGACTTATTAATTCCAGTTTCTTTTATTAGTCTGTAAAGCTGTCTTGTGCTCCCTATAGTCGCCGCCTTTTCCATCTCTTTTGCTTTCGTTGCCCACCACTGCTCACGGTCGTTTCTTAGACTTTTTCTTAACCTAGATCTGATTTGTTGTCGCTCTTCATCATGTTCGGAACCTGATGGGACGAGTTTGCGAGAATCCATCAGTGTGATAGACTTTGAAGAAATCCACTGGTTCTTTGTAACTCTGTGGTTTAAGTCACTAATAGATTTCATTGCTGTTTCCACAGCTGTTTGTATATCTTTCCAAGCAACATCTGGGTCAGCCTCGTTTTCAGAACTACCTAAGTGTGACCTCAGTTGTTCCTGGAACCTACTTTTGGTTTTCTCGTTACTCAATTCAGTCCTAATTGGTCTTTTTAATGTGGCTTTTTTGCATCCAGTGAGGCGCAAGCAGATGCGTGCCCGTATTAGGGCGTGGTCGGAGTCCAAGCAGGTGCTCCAGAATGAGCGACAATCTTCTACCGACCCTCTCCAACGATGACTGATGGCAATATGGTCTATTTGAGTCCATCGTTGGTTTGGTGCAGGCGGTCGCCATGTTAGACGATGTCTCTCCTTATGCTTAAAATTTGTGTTTGCTAAAAATAAGCGATTGTCTGAGCACAGTTGCAGCAGACGGTCACCATTATCTGTTCGCTGTCCCGGAATGCTAAAATATTCACCTAAATGCCTTTCTGTTTGGTCTAAGCCACCTATCTGAGCATTAAAGTCACCTGCTACGAGTACTATGTCTGAGCGTTTAGCTTACTGAAGAAGTTCGGACAGCTTTCTGTAAAATTCATCTTTCACATCATCTGAGCTGCAGTCAGTGGGAGCGTAGGCAGAAACGACGAAAAGGCAACGACGTGTGTCCCTATCCTTCCGAGTTCTTACGGAGCCTTTTAGCAGAACAGCACAAAGACGACTGTTGACGGGGATCCACTCTAGCAGTGCTTGTTCCGCCCTCATGCTTAGTGCTATGCCTACACCTGCCAGTCCACGAGAACTGGCCGTCGGATCACCAGATACACGTAGGGTGCATCTCGTTGGCTCTCCGTTTTGACGAGGTGGGGTCAAGTGGATGACCACACTGGGATCCTGTATGCGTGTTTCGGAGACACAGCATACATCAATGGTAGGAGATTCCAGGGTTTTAGCCAAGGAAGCCTGCTGACCGATTTGACATAGAGTGCGTACGTTGAGAGCTCCGATGTGTAGTGTGGAGCGAGGTTTCAGTAGACCTGGGACAGAGTTTTGAGCACTAGAATCGTTGGCTATGGTGACACTTGAGGAGGAAGCCGAAAGAGGAAGTTTAGCGTTGAAAGTCGATGTAGGAGGAATAAAAGGAATTGAAGAGGAAGGTTGATTATGAATACAGTGGTCTTGGGTGCTGTTAGAGGTATGAGGGCGGTTATCACTTCCCGGTTGCCCACACCGTGGAAGGGTTCTTCTGGAGGTACCTGAAAAGGAAATTGGATTAGAGGCGGTCTCAGTGACCTGAGAGCGTGACCGCAGAGCCCAAGGGACAACTGCTTGAGGCCGGTCGCGCACGGCCTTTTCGTGGGAGGTTTTTGACGTGTTAGCTCCGTTCTTCGAAGGGCCTTGCCGCCGGAGACGGAAATCCGTGAGGTAAGGTGAGGTGCACATTTTTAGGGTCGACCTTTTCTAACCCCACCCCTCCTTGTGGGAAGGCAGCATCGCTGTCATGCTGGTTGTCCTAGGAAAACACCTTACTGCTGTCATACCTTTGTACAGTCAGCAGTACGACTTCGCCTTCGGACTTTGGGTTTGTTGCTTTTAGTCTTACCGCTCTTCAACCGACCTTTCTGACGTGGTAGGACCTTGAGGAACAGTTGTTCCAGTCAGTATAGCTCGGTTGCTTCATCACGATAGGCAAGCGCGACCACTACGTCAAGGTAGCAACAACGGTCGGGCATGTATTAGTTAGATAAAATTTAGTGTTAAAATTTATTCCTTAAATAACATTGCTAAGGGACAGGTTATCAAGCTGGTAAATCTGTTGTTATACGAGGAAAGTAGTGCATATTAATAGGTAGTGAACAAATATAGCAGTGCGAATTTCGTGTTTTAGAACATCGATGAAGATGCCCAGAAGATCTATTATTGACACTAATCGAAGCCAAAACAACTAGGCAAAGAACTGAAAATGACTAGCAAAATTACGATAAAATTCCGAACCTGCGGACTAATAGAGTAGTATATCATTTCTAGTTTGGTAGATGTTTCTCTTACTTTGCAGCTATCAAAGATACAATGTAGATCATACCTTACATTTTAGAAGTTATAATATTTGATAAAAAAGACTGGGTATAATAACTACATCTTGAGATGCCTTGAAAAGCCAAATGGGTTCTTGATTATAAACATAGCCTATTAAATTACAAATTTATTTACTATAAAATTTCACGTTTTCATACATCGATACATAAACAACATACTTTCACTCTGAGCTATCTCCTCAGAAGAAATATCTTCATCGATTTTACGAATCTAAACAGAGTAAAAGATCAAGAATGTTTCAAGGTTATTCTAACTATAATTACAGTGTAAATATGCAAGAATTCATTTGTCATAGTGAACTGGAAACGTAGTTATTTATTAGGTTATGCTGGGATTTACCAACGCAAACTAGAGTCGAATTAAAAAATATTATTCTGAAAATACGAAAATTGAGGTTGGACAAACTACGTGAAATGACACTCTATGTTGGGTAAAAAATATACATTAAAAAGGTATCTTGAGAATTCAGTATTAGATAGTCGTTTTAGTATTAGCCCAGCCAGGGTTCGAACCCGAGACCACTCGCACCCAAAGCGAGTATCATACCCCTAGACCATTGGCCCCCAGATGCCGTGGTACGGCCGAGAGTGAGGAGAGTCCACTCTCCCTCTCGAAATGCTCTCACATGGCCACGCGTATATAGCCTCTGCCAGGGAAGTCCTGCTCACTGCCTTCTCGTGGCCGGGGTGTTGTTTACGAAAATGAGAGGACGAAAAGCGAATGTCCGGCGCTTTAACTGGATTCCAAATCAATGGTGCACATGGGCTCCAGTATCCTGCAGGAACAAATGGCGTATGAACTAATCGTTGGTCACAGGCTTTCTTGGGACTGCATCTCCTTACGACGCCCCACTGCCTTGTGGATCAGACCTTCAGGTCGAAGACTCGGGAAGTGGACCCCTAAGAAAACCACCTGCTTCGGTTTGGGCACCCGGGCAGTATCACAGCCCTCACACATATCAAATGAGATTTGTGTGGCGCATATGTATTTGGTGCCTCCTTGTACCAATATTTATGTGTTAAAATAAATAAAGTCGTTTTAGTGTTAAAACTGCAGGGACATTTTATCCATAAGGAAATAGCTCAGGAATTATGCTAACAAAATACTAAGTTGGAATAAAAATGGAAGTATCAAGTGGTTTGCATGGGTTTGGACTAAGCCCAATAGTTTTAGTGTGAATCAACCATAAAAACGGAAAGATTGAAGGGTCTGAAGATCATAAACCTACAAAAATATAGTAGTTAACTTATGAACTGAATGACGTAAGTTCAGTCAGACTAAAATCCATTTACTGACAAAACTACTTAACAAATATTTTTAATAATCTGTTGTCAAATTCCATAGCCTAGTATAAGCTATCAAGACTTGTCTGAAGTTTGTAGTCCAAAACGTTTCAGAGATTTTTTATATCTAAGAATAATCCCTAAAGTTTCATGAGCATCATCATTTATGAATTATTTAGCGCAAACGAAACTCGAAAATAGGCGAAGTTTTTATGCTAGAATAATAGACTGTTATTTATTCGATCTGCGTGGAATAAAATTCGCTGGGAATCGTTTTTATCTATCTAAGGTCTGATAGGACAAAATGTGATCACATGGAAGACACAAACCATTTATTCTCCAGAAAAAATCTTAGTGTTTTTATTTATGCTATATTGTATTATGACATTCATGCATCTTTGTGAATAATTTAGGCTGAATATACGGTACAATAATGAGTAGTCGGAATTTAGAATATGGAATAGACAGAGTGCTTGGATTAAAAAAATGGCACATCTTTTAACCTATCAAACTAAATAACTGCTTACTAAGCATCATCTGAAAGAACGACAAACAATTTGAGAGCTAAAGAGTGGACGAAACATAAACTGTTATATCGTATAGCTAACATTTTCAGTTTACTTTATGATTAAGTTTATGTATAAGAAACGTTTGTTCAAAGAAGTACACTACGATGACTTACCTTAGACGAAATTTGGGAATTGCTGTCATCCAGATGATTGGCCTCAAATTCGTGATTGGTATCTAAAGTAGCTTTGTATAACAAGATTGGTAATACATCCAATAAACGAACAGGATGAACCTAAAGCAAAAGTAGCTTTAGACATTATAAACGCTTAGAAATTAATAACCATCAATTTTGCGATTTGATTAAACGATCTGTAATAGCAAACATTTATTATTTTTTATTTGTTTGAACACATAAATATTGGTTCAAAGGGGCACCGAATACATATGCTACACGTAAGTCACCCGATTTGCGTGTGGGATGTGATACTGCCCGGTCGCCCAGACCGAAGCAGGAATAGCAAATACGTCAAACATTGGTTGACAGCTAAGGATAACGGAATGTGTAATCACATTTAAACATAGAAGTTACGTGTACAAATTATTTGACCAATAAACAAGTAATCATTTAGTTCTTAAGCGAAATCTGTCAAGTATGCATGAAATTTAATTGAAGCTTAAAGGAGAGCTATACAGCCTAATATGGATAAGATTTGAATGTTGGTCACTAGTGATTCGGATTGAACAACACAGAGTTTTAAACCAGATAAGTCGGTGAAAGATATGTAGCCTAATGTTTCCAGGTCATTAAATACTCAGTTTCCAGAACTTGTTACGATGGTATAGGCTAGCCAAGCCATTCTTACGCTATAGGGTATGAAAATGTCAAAAATGTACTTGAGTAATATACATTGTAGAACATTTAGTGAGGGCTAATAGACAAGCTTACCATACTCGTTTAATATTGTTACGAGGACCGGCTCTCAATATGTTAGTTTTACAATGGCCCCCAAACGCCCTGATACGGCCGAGAGTGGGGAGAGTCAGCTTTCCCTCTCGAAATGCTTTAAGATGGCCACGTGCACACAAACACTGCCAGGGAAGTCCCACTCACTGCCTTCTCGTGGCGGAGGTGTTGTTTGAGAAACCGAGAGGACAAAAAGCGAATGTCTGATGCTTTAACAGGGTTGGTGGACACGGAGAGTCCACCTAGGGGAGCTGGAAAACCCTGATTCCAAACCAATGGTGCACATGGGCTCCAGTATATTGAAGGAACAAATGGCGTATGAACCAATCGTTGGTCACCGACTACTATGAGACTGCATCTCTTAAAGTTGCTCCACTGCCCGGGCAGTGTCCCAGCCCTCACATAAATCAAATTATTTGTGTGGCGCATATCTGTTTAGTGCCTCCTTGTACCAATGTTTATGTGTTTAAATAAATAAATAATAAGTCTCACAGTGACTGTTTTCTTTGAACTACTTGCATTACGAAATCCCACTACCAAGAAACCTTGTGACTTAGTGGCTAGAATAATCAGTTTTCAACTAACAGGTTAGCGGCCCGATTTCTACTTCAACTACTTCGGTCTTAGCAGTTGCGTAGTAGTATTACAAACCCTTATGCCAATAATATGACCCAAAGCTGAGTATGTGAACGTTTTTATAATAAGCATAAGGATTTGTAATGCAAAGTTACTGTCGTTACAAGTGATTGATCCCCGAGTAGTAACCAATTTCATGTTTATTTAGTCATTTGGGGCTTCTTGAATTCTACCAATTAGATTGCAGTGTGGCTATTAGTTTAGGTGACTACACATCGAACTCCTGAAGGAGCACCAGTTTCCTTAGGTACGCCTTGATTACCAAGCAATACTAAACATAGGCTCGAGGTTTTCAACCGACTACTGACAACTATCTAAGAAAGTCAAAGTAGATCTGTTATGTTCAAGTGCTTGGGTGCTTTTCATCCCGGTGGTTTGACTATTATCTCACTCCAGAAATATAGGTTTACACTTAACACCTAATTGAAGACGCAGCATAGAAAAACCTAGATTAAGATAAATTGTTCACTTTTATTAAATGAACTGTAAAGTAAAAAATCATACTTTTCCCCTGTACGAATGTGCGTATGCAGAACTAATTTCTGATTGCGGAAACGATGAACCATGGTAAAATTGAATCACAGATCCTTTTGGTTGATCTGTGCCAATACGTTCGAGTGTAGCGGCTGTGATAAGTCCAGAACAAGTTTCACAAAGAAGAACAGTTGATCCTGCATGAATATTAGCATAAGACAGGATACGACATACTGTCTCGAAACGCAGTCCACTGGGAAACGGTGAAATATATAGTGACAAAAATAAATGTAACGGTTGAAGATCTTAGTGTAAATTAATCGATTCTCTGATATCAAGTAAATTTATTTGCACAATAAACTGACAAAGTAAATAAACAAGACAGTTTGAGACAGAAAACTAAAATAATGCATTGTCAACTTGTGGGTGAGATCAACATTTGTTCACGTTGTCCGGATATCTATCTATATAATATAATATTCTGAAGCTGTCTATAAGCCATTTGATAGTGTCTTCAGTTTTACCACCAGAGGAATAAGGACTAGTCCTGGATTTCACAGCAGAAAGTTTTCCTAAGAGCCTACGATCATTACTTTTGCCTGATGACGGAACACGCCACTGTTGGATACCTTTGTTTTTTAATAAGGATTCCTATATAGAACAATGGGCTACCATTTTGTCGAACTGACTTCGTCATATACTTTGTTGAACCTACCTCTATATCATTGACCAATATAAATTAGAATGTCAGCCATCTACTCTCACTTGGATATTTTTAGTTGTTCAGTAAAAATTGCAAAAGATTGTATCTGAATGACACAATCACCGGTCAATACCGTGGTACTTCAAAGAACCTATAACTTCGGTACACTACTACTATAAATAACCATCTGACTGCCTAAAAATAAACTATCACACCTATCGCAGTCAGTTGCTCCTTTTCTTGACATGGTAATGAAGTTAACTAAGTATAACCCGTACCAGAAAGTTCACTAGAGAAACAAAGTAGAATACATGTTAAACTAAAATAAACGTTATGCACACCGGTTAACCACAGCAAACACAGCTTTAGTCACACAAATGTTATCAATCTAAAAAGGTGGGTTAGAATTCCATAGAATATAGATAGACAATATTAATAAGTCGAACAAAAATTAGTGACTTACAGACACTTTTCTGGGCGAAGATTACTGAATATTTCAAAACATATGCGCGCTTTAGGCTTTTCAATTGAGAATAAACTCAGGTGCCGATCTTTCTTTTTCTTGAGGTACTTTTGTTGAGAGAATGGTGTTTTTTGTTCAAAATTTAGGTTGCCTTCTACTAACTGGTCTAATATATCCTACAAAAAATTCAAAGATTTATTTCCACTACTTGTCCTGAAACACCATTAAGACGCAATTGTTCGATATATGAACCAGATAATTTCTGATTAGCTTGAGAAACTTTGATATTTCTGTTATCTTTTAAACCAACCGCACCATGTTTTTCTTCATTATTCGGTGGAATTTCTATATCCTATAGTAAATTAGATTAAGATTGATTGGGTAACAAACAATTATTGACTCATGTTTAGTGGGATGAATTTGATCTCCTGAAACGAAAAATTTAGAGCCAAATGGCACACCAATCGCATTCCTTAGAGAGAATACTTTTCCATCAAATGTCTCCCTCCTAAGATCAGGGTCATGAGTAAGCATGATTTACTTCTCTGAGGAGATTTTGACGAACTTGTAGCAATGTTCTTTGAATAATAGAACATGATCTCCTTCGGTGATTAACATTTTTCAAGGTCGAAGTGAAAAAAAGTTGCTTTTATACGGAAGCCGTGCCTGAAAATGAAGCATTTGACGAGGGCTAAACAACAACAGAAGTTCCAAAACGTGACTACGAAACGCCCTATAATTATGTTTTTTAACTTCTCTTGACTATGATAAACTAGATATAATAGGTGACGACACATTACCTCTTTCAAACTGATCACCATGTACCCAGACACTGGCAACTTTATTGACAGTGACTTTTTTGATTATTTTACCAGCCAAACTTGTCTAAAGTTGTTTTAAAGATAGAACATCAAGAAAAACGGAAGACGAGTGTGACACAAGTGTATTCTGCTCATCACAAACTAGAAGAGAGTAACAATTTTGGACGGAAAATCCATACATAAATATTTCTATGGGTTGATGTACTTGTATACAATTCAGTTACTCTGAATCTATTTGTAAGATGTGTATCATTCAAATAAACAAACAGGACAACTGCGGATTGAGTGACTATATTAAATTTATAAAACTAGGAACGATCACAACGACAGCTTGGGGGCGGACACTTACCAAAGCATGCAATCCAAATACAGCGCTCCAGAGTCAACCTTTACAGTCTTTCAACAACCAATATATTCAGAGTATCTAATGTGTTGCACGCCATAAACAATACCCCTCTTGCTCTCGTGTAATCTAGAGCGAGTAAGCTTAGGTCTCAAGGGCATGTTTCCTACACCAGCCACTCATATCTTTGCATAAAACTGTATCTAGTTTTAGAAATTTATGCTCCTTTAGAAGATAAGGAGAGTAAGGACGTTTTGAGTTTCAAGGCATAGTCGTCAGTTCATATTCAAAATAATTTTGGGCTGATAGGATAAAGGTGCCTTCTATGAAGCAAACGATCGCATTTTCTTCGGCTTCATTTACATCATAGTTTAGGCTTATGTCCAAACACTTTGTGGTTAACGGTTCTGGTAAGCACAGTGTAGAAACGATTGTGGAAGGATTCTAACGACAGAAGTGATTTGTTCTTGTCCCATGGGGTGGAATAGTCATGAAATAGCATTTTTACAGATTAACGTTTAGTTATTACCCACCATCCACTTTCCTTTTATTATGAGGTCGTTTAGGAACTCGAGTGGATTATCATCGTTTCTTGTGGACCATGGTGACGTTAGTGCATATTAAGGTTGACGAGCTAGATTTTCTAAGCAGTCGTTGTTAGAAAATAAGGGGAGTGGACTTAAAATTGTTACTTGTGAAACTCCTTGTGCTAAGACCCTCAGCATTGTGTGTGAAACTCTCAGTTCACAGAGCCAGGCAAGGAGTGAGTTAGAAAATTTTGTCGTTGCTATCCTCTCAACGAGTGCGCGAAGTGCTGAATCAAATGTTTTTGCTGAAGTAAGGAATTTTATGTGGACATGTATCTTTAGGTCTAAGCAAGTCGTCTTACTACCTAATACTTAGGATTGTGCAAACCGGACAAATCTTTTCTGAGCCTCTCTTATGCTTCAGGATTAATGCTATTCTTGCCCAAGTACGCCTTGATCTAGTCGACAAACAGCCTTTACATTGCTTTCGAAAATTTTCGGGTAAGTGCAACTAGTTATTAGGAGGACATGTTTTTTCTGCCTGCTGCTCTGAAAAAAAGAGGCAGAATATCTTTCAGAAGTTGCCATGACTCTAGTGAGTGCCAATTAACCGATCGCATAACGGGGTACAGTAGCTCTTTATGCACTGTTTCAGGACCAAAGATCGGACGTTCTCACATCCTAGTGACTTTTCGGGTGTTAACTGTTAAGCCTGTAGTGGCTAGTACTATTTCAAGCCCACATTTGTTATTTCAGCTTCCGGACAGACTAATTTATTCATTCTTCTGGAGTTACATTTTGACCTGGTAAGTCGTTCACTTGTTGAACTTGACTGTCTTTATATGGTCGTGTGTTAATTGCTCACCCTATCCACTAAGTGCCTGTAACTTATTTTTGTCTGACCAGAAATTTTGAGTCACGCTTGATTAAATCCGGTTGGCGCACTCATCTTCTTGTTCTGAATGCCGCTTTGGATAAACGAATTCTTGAAATGAATCCAACCAACGCAATCCATTGTTGGGTTCTTATTACCATCACCACGCAAACAGGATTAGCCTAGGTAATATACGGAGTAAAATGGAAGATTTATGTTCAGAATATCTCTGTGAGATGAAACCGGAGTCACATAATGGGCAACAGGAAGTCAGATGGAGACTTCCTGAACTACAAGCTGGTACTAGAGTGGAAAATTATACAGCTCCTGTAAGTCCTTGGTTTAATGATGTTGTGAAATTGTTGCTAAGTATTTTAGTCATTGCTAGGTCGACAAGATCTTCATTGGTAAGTCTCTTAAGTCGTAGGCCTTTATGGTCTGAAGGTTCCCACATTGTCATGAAACTTTGAAGATATTTTCTTTTAGATCGGAGTTTGGCTATAAGATTTGTCTGGAAATATCCTTTTTCACTTCACATATTGTTGTTTCATCTGCCGTACTGGCTTTTACTAACATATATTTACATGATTTACCATTGCTTTGGAAAAGATGTTAATTACTCATGCAGCATGTGACTGTTAAGCCATTGTTACCCTCAAAATGACTGTGTAGTGTTCGTAGGAAACTATGGCTTTCGGGATTCATACCTTATCTCTCTATCTTTGTATTTTTAAGCTCATGACCCTTGTGTGTACTCGTATGTGTTTGTCTGTCGCTTATTATTTTATTAAGTGACTGTCTCCTTGCCACACTACGCATTTTCTATTATGAATTACACTAGCGCTTGTAATGAGTAGTAAAGCGAGTTTGCACACTCACCTTCTACAATTCGCTTTCCAACTTTTCATTCGTAGTGTCTGTCTGAATAAATTCATCTAACTCAATCCGTATTTCGTTTTTAATTACTACTGTCTGGGTGTACCATACGGAGTTAATTGGAAGAGTTGTATTCGTTAATTATTTCAAACTGGAGTCCGCTTATCGGGGCACAAAACTACTTCTGAGTGCCATGTGAGAGCTGTGGTCGAGACCGCTAGTAAGAAGAATTCTTGACTTTCCGGAGTATCTTAATTGTGACGACGCCAATTATAAGAAAGATATTGTCTTAATGGGTGCATTCCGTTTACGCCAATTATGACTGTACATTGGTTGCCATTTACTGTTCGCTTTTTGACGTTGTTGGATAAGCGTCGCCTCTTCTTATACTTGAAAGGACCATATCCTCCTAGGTGCGGTAGTAGTTATATCACCTGGGCTATATGTTCCGTCTGTTTTATTACATATAGAACGGTGTTAAATTCCTCCAACCAAGTATTCGGTGACATTTACTTCCAAGCAACATCAGAAAGACTCTGGTAGCTTGGCCAGCTTCGTTATAACCGGCGTGGTGGGTGATGGCTTATACCCACCCGTCCTCTGCATATGTTCCCTGTCACATCTGAATAGCGTGACGTCTTGCGTGTTCACTTCACCGACGGGGACATCAGGTGAGAGCCAAGTTTCAATTGAAACCGCAGCCTTCAGCTTAAGCTGGAGACATACAATTCCGTTCTTGTTTATTTTGCTTCTATATAACTCTGTACTGTTGCAGGAACGCTTCGATGTTTGGCGCCATATGCAGTGTTTCACTATAGAAGTAGCTGCTTGTTGGGTTGTGTGCGGGATTTGGTTTAGAGCTAGCCGGCAGGCTCTGTAGGAACCGGACGATATAGGTTATCCTCCCATGTGGTTCGTTTAGTCACTGTAGGCGTTCTGTTGAGCTCTTTGCCATAGGTTGTTGGCCAAGGTAATCTGATAATGAGGTATGCTTTATTCGATTGTCCTATTCTTGTCTTGCCTATATAGGCCGGCGTTCATAAGTTATAAGGTCATTCTTCATATTTTAACGAATGTGTTAGGTTCTATTTGGTTCAGAAGTTCATATCCACCAGGCGGAAGGACCTGATCGTTATAAAGGACAGGAAAGCCATGACATGCTAGTTGCTGTAGCTGTGCTATAACCCCCTCCATCAATGTATTATGTACACATGAACTTCCTCGAGGCCAACATATGTAAACTTAGGGACCTCATAGACTACCATCCTGACTGGTTCACCAGTGCCCGCTGATGGTTACTTTGACGCATCTTTTTCAAAGTACTGTTTGCCGTTTCTAACTCTGATATCAGATGACCGTCAAACAGGTAATCTCGAAAACACCAAGAGAATTTCCCCTCTCATATCTGAAGAGTGTAATCTGATTTATAGTAAAGGGAACTTACCTTTATTGTAGTTTGGTGTCTGTACGAGCGGCACTGTTTTACTGAAATAGAATCCGTCTCAAGCAGGATGTAGTACTCGTTACACCAATGTTTATTAAAAGCTCCCCTGTTTGACAGTAAACTATTTCTTAACACTAGGACATTAAATGCTATTTGAGCTTGATGTCCAGAGTATTCTTTCCGAAAGCTTTGCTACAATGGAAGGTACTTCAATAATATTATCCTTTATAATAGTCACCCATAGCTCTTCCCTACTATCAGCAACTGAGGTATGTGGAGCAGTAGGTAATTTTTAGTATAATGATCTAAGTCGGCATATTTGCATTTATTTTTGCTATTAGAATGATAGATCTAATCACGAAATTATAGGTTCGTAAAAGTGTTACTACCCAATTACGTTACGTGAACTTCACATCATTGTCCATACTGACTGGTCCTGCTTAATGGTCTGCGACATAGTGTTTAGGGCTTCTGAAATAAATATTTCGGGACAGAGTGATCACGCCTGCACTTCGTACAGGCTAATTTTTTCTTGTTCACCATTTCTGATCCTCTCTAAGTGTCACATGTTAGGTGTAATCACCTCAGTCACTAAATGCTCAGCTTCAAAGTACGTATGGTTGGGAGCCTATACTGCTACAAGTTCCTCGATGGATTCTCTAAATCGACATTGTGGTTTACTTGGGTTATGACTGAAATGATCGCGTCTTTTGCTGTCCCTGTGCACTTTGCATTAGTGGGGGTGGACAGAGTTTCTTGCAACATAAATGAAAGTGTATGCTTCTCTTTCTTCGGTTCAGTTGGTGTACTTTCACTGCACTCCGGACATACGTACTAGATAAAACAATGGAGTTTTGCGAAGAAGTTATGGAAAACTATTTTCTACTCTATTACTCTTTGTTTTAGAATACTCTATGGTGTGGCGTCAAGTCGCGGTTGACAATGATCACCAATACAGGAAGACTACGTGCCAAATTCCATCTACTCTGTATCAAAAGCACAAAGAGTTATTTTAATTGAGGCACTGACATGTATTTGTTAGGACCTTTAGTTCTAATCAAGAAGATGGCTTCGATGTTGATATAGAAAATGGTATTTTAATAGAGCTATAAATCCTTCTTCAAAAATATCTGCAGCTCTGTCGCCTTTAAGATCAATTTTGATGTAAAGAGTTTCCTTTGGTACTGAGGTTGCTTATTCTTCCGGAGTCTTGAGATCTATTTTCTTGCAGAAAAATATCGATGAGTGACCGTTTTTCTTAGAGTGACTAAAAATTCTTTGGATTTGAGTGGTGAGAGATATAATTAAGTCTCAATTTCTAAAATATATAAAACTCCAATTTCACAGTAGTTT